TCTTTTGCCTAATGCGATGACTATTGAAATGAATGCTGGGCTAATCCATAGCTCTCTCCAGCCATATTTTAATCTCACAGGGAGCAAACACTTTTGCTTTGCTGAAGTTGTAACAAATAGGATAATAAATGTTGCTTAAGTACATATGCCCAGCATTCATTTCAGTAGTCATTGCATTAGGCAAAAGACTAAAGACTTGGTGCCAGTGTGCTCATTTGAACTCCCTGAGACAGCAGTATGAATGAAAGGTCTAAAACAGTTTATAATGTAAAAATATGTAACTGAAATAAATTATGTAACTGATTTAGCAGGGAAAGTGTGGGAAACATCTTTTGCTTCAATTTTACTGCATATTATTATTTATTATAACACAGCCACTAAGGTCTGCTGGCTTCAACTTGAGTATAAAACCATGCCTCCTTAAACATATTCATAGCTCAGTGAGGTTTTTCAAGCAGTTTGTGCTGTATCCCTGTGTGTAATAGTGATGGATCAGCGATACCGCCACTGCAGTGGACTTGGCAAACCCAAACTCCTGGCTGACCTTTCATGCAAAGACTTTTTCCCCCACTTCAGAGCACTCAACTGCTCAGATTCTACCAAATTAAACAAAAAATAAAAGATCGACTTAAAGAGGTTGACATTTAGGTTTTTAAGAGCTATAGCCAGTCTCTTAAACATTCCCAGCATTATTATTCCTCTTGTGGGGCAGATTTATATCTAAATGTTAGCCTGACTTCAGCATAAATGTTTGGAGTGGAGAGGGCCGTGAGGACATGGTTCCGGTTGGTGTTTTGCTGTCTTCAAAGCGCATTGCTTGACTTGTCTCTTCCACTCAGGCAAATATTTACTTACGCTGTCCATTAAATGGACACTTGTCAGGAGGCCGTCACTCGAGTTTCCAAGCCTACGGGTTCCCTTGGTGTTCTACTTTGGGCGTTCCATGTAAATAGCTGTTGTGGAATGATGGATTGTGTTTGTTTGTTGGGAGTGCCCGGGTTTATTTCATTAGCAAAACCAATAAATAATCGTCTGGGCCAGGGATGAGATTTGTTAGGATTTGCCGAAATTAAAGTGGAAAGCTACCTTTAAATGCATGTTTTAGTTTTGAAAAACGTAAACAATGCCAAGTGGGCCAGAGGCAAGTCGAGGTCAGCGGATGGCTGTGGTTTAGCCAAAATGGTTGGATCTCTGTCCAGGAGAGAACAGCACAGCATATTAAAGAGGAGTCACTTGAACAACTTTGTATGTAAATATTGACATTAGAGAGCAATTTATGTCTTGAAAGACAACAGATGATTAAATGCTCAGTCCTACATCCTCCTCTTGAAGAAAGCATTAAGAACTGTTAGTGATTCAGAGAGTGAGAGTGTGTGTGTAAGTGTTGTAGTGCTTGATAAATTACATGTAATGTTTTTTAAAAACACTTTGTCAGCAAAACTGTTCCTAAAAAAGTACTGGCAGTGAATTTTGCACTCTTGACTACAACAGCAAGAGGGAAAGAAAGGTTTCAAAAAAGATCAGTCAGTATCATGAAACAGCCTCAAACTGTTGTGATTATCATCACACAGACAAATACATTTCATGTAATATAGAATCTCTACACTTTAATGTGTTCCTTGTAAACACTTGGAAAGCGAACAAAAAGAACAAAAGAAAAACCTCAATGACTGTCAATGTGTTGCAGTACCTGAATAAAATCACAAAATATTATATTTTGCAAAGTATATGTTTTAATAACTAGCTTTAAAGTACTTAGTCAGACAAGAGTATACAAATTATAACAAGAAAAGCTGAGAAAAAACAGATTTATATTCACACCTTACTGTGGTAATGAGAATTTGGGCACATTAATCTGGAAAATGTTACTACAAATCAATTTAAAATCAATTAAATAATTGAGTTTTATTTTATATTACTCAACCAGGCATCACCGTTCATGTATATCCAAAAGAAAACATTACATTTTGGTCATTTAAATTTTTTCAAGTTGGTTCCCAGTATTTGTCATCTTCGTGAGAATAACCCATACATACGTATGGAGACTTTATGTCTAGTGAACCAGTGAGATTTCCGCAGTTCAGTATAAAACCGAATCTTCCATTTAATCTGTTTTCCGTCATGCTTGTATAACCCTTGAGAATGTGAGCGGCTTTATGCTAACTGTATGTATCTGTCCAGAGCAGGAGTGAGAGGCCTGCAGGAGGATGAGAGGAAAGAGGGAGCGACAGAGAGACACACACTGACTCAATAAAACTTGACTGCTGAATTAGAAAGAGGGCAGTTTGAAGTCACATCAAAACAAATTGAGCTTTTGTAGGAGCCTCAGCCGGTGCCCCTGTTTAATTTGCATGTCAATGCAGGCAGTCTGGTGGGCCAGCAGCACAGTTAATGAGCAATGCAAATAGTGCACACACTGCTCCTTACACACACCATCAGAGAGAGCAAGTCCACGCAGCACAGCCATGAACCTCATTTTGAAGCTGACGGTGTTTTTGTGTTTTCTGAGAACTTTATATTAATATATAATACAGGATGTGGTCTTCCAAATGTTATGGCCACAACCCCTCATATATATTAGAAAATGTATATAACATTTTAAATCAACCATTAGAGCAATACTCATAATAATTCTACTGTTGTGTTCTATTTACGTCAAATACATGCCGTTCATGTTCTTACCTCCAATTCATGTGGTCAGTGAAGTCCATTGCTGGTTTTTGCAGGGAAGTTTAAGACACTGTCTTACTCAGTACAACTGTCCTATAATGGAAATTGGTTTAGGTCATTTTTATAATATTATCAACCTGAAATTCAGTACACAGCGTGACCTAAATGCCCCTAAGTCATGGCAATGCTGTCGTAATATCAACTCATTTCTCCAAAAGGGTAACTTAACAGGAGAAAACAAAAAATCCCTACTTCAATACATGTAAATGTAAGAAGATTTGAAGAAGTTTAAGATCATAAGAAGTCATTCTGAACACTGTTCACACAATGAAAAAGACAGTGTTTTTAAATTACGTTAAAAAATTAAATAAAAAAAAAGAATAAAACCTCTAACCTTAATATCTAATTTTCAGCAATATGAAATTGCCAGGCAACATGAACACCTTTGTCTACATAAACAGAACAAGACATTAAAATAAGCTCATCAGGATACAAAAGGCAGACGTGCTTGAAAGAGAGAGTCACTAAAAGCATTTGTGTGCATCTTTTTTTTTTTTTTAAACACACATGGGCCGTTGAAGCAGGTGATGGCCCGGGCAGAACCGAGTGGAGAACACAATCAGAGCATTAGCTTGTCCAAACTCTCAGGTTTTTGTTATCATTAGCTGAGCACTAATAGTCCTGAGGGAGGCTATACTCACTAATGCTAGCGGCTCTTAAGTGGATGGCCTGCTAATGGCGTCTTCCAGGGGTCCTGACTCGCAGCAAGGTCACCTGAGACGGGGGGAAGCAGAGAGCGTGAGCTGGGACTGACCAAGCATTTAGGAAACAGATTAACTCTAGTGTTGAACTAAATTACACTGTCAGTGAGGATTCTTCGCTGAAAGGAAGGTTTAAACTCTGTCTGGTGAAGCAGCTCACAGGATCTGAACAGGATTTGGCACTGGCCATAATATACAGACCAGGCTGCTCTAAATGTATCAGTGAGAGCTTGAAAATGTGGCTTGGTGTGCTGTAATATTTCAAAACATTAAGAAAAAGCCTAACATCTTGACCCATGAATGAAAGCTTTGGAAAATGGTAATGTCATTGTTTTCAACACTATCTAACTGTGCTGGTGGACAAAGAAATGTTTTGTTGATGTTCAAATCCTCTACAGTAAACAAACCTCAACTGAATATGGCATTTTTTGCAAATTGTAGAGCACAATTTGTTATTTAGTTGCTGAATTTAAGATGTTGAAAAAAACAAAACAACATATTAAATGTATCATAACTGTTGAACCACATTTTATATTTTATTCCCTTCCAAATGTTAAATTCAGCAAATAAACAGCAACTGTGCATTAGAATGTGCAGAACCGTGTTCTCTGTAGAGGATGTGTGTTTGTTTTCACTTAGAAAATCAACAAAACGTCATTTGACCAGGGGCGCCGAAACTTTTGTTTTGCAGACAGCTGTGTATTCATTACAAATATCCTTCTATTGATGCAGGCCAGTGCTTCAGAAATTTCCATCATCTAATTCATGTGTCATTACCATGTTATTATAACATGATTATTCAGTTGTGCAGTCAGTTTTGCATATTGTACCTAGTTATGAAGACTTAATCAAACACATTTCATAGTGAAGTAACAGTCATTTTTTATTTACTGCACTAACAATAAAAACTATACTCTATACTTCGCACAGCTGATCAGTACTGCCATTGATGATGGTTACGCTTAAATGACTTCAGCCTTCACTTAGCCTTCAGATCACTTGGTTTTAGTGACAACATACTGAGCCCTTTACTACACGCATCCCCACAGCAAACTAATTCACAACGGAATGTGAGCCAACGCTTTAGGTCAAGTTGAAAGCTCTCGTTTGCAGATCAGTGAGCAAGTACAGTTACCGAGACACTGTATTGACTTACTGTGAAAATATCACAGCTCCCGGAGCAGTTCTGTAGTGAGCTGAAATCTCCAGGCTGAGTGAATACAGGCATGTTTCTGTGCTGGTTGAGTGCGAGCCAAGGGCTCAGAGCTCACAGCTTACTGCCATTCCCTCACACACTAAATAAATACTCACTCTACCTCCAGCATTAATCCCCAGAGTGCAAGTTAGAGAGCAAGAGAGAGCGAAAGAGAGATGTAATGTGTCCCCTTTGGAGGGACTTCAGAAATGACGCAGTCCAGTGGAAGCACTACTTCTGAACAAGGCCCCTGTGTTAACTTCCCTACGCGTGCTACCGAAAGAAATTCAGAGCACACACGCACACACGTGCACACCAAGCATAAAACACACAGAGCCCGATAAATAGAAGAAATAAAATTGCAGCCAGGCACATTTAAACTTTTACAGTCAACACTGAGTCCTTTATTTATAGAAGATGACTGAAATAAAAAAACGTCCATATTTGTACCCTGGTGTCAGTGAAATTCTTCTAAATCAGCTTGTTTTTTAAAACACACAAAAAAGTATTTTCATCTCATCATTTTTATACAAATGTGCAAATAAGACGGACATTACGAATCCTTCAGTCTTCAGTGTCAGTCCAGGATCCACAGGATGCGGCTTGGAGAGGGACGGGGCTTAATTGTCAACAACTCCGCCCTCTCAAGTTCTAATTCAAGTAAAGTGCTTCATCGAGGGGAAAAAAGAAACAGCACATGCGTCCTTTCAATGTCTCGCTCCATGTACAAGGGGAAGAAAACAATAAAATTACAAATGCAAATAATAATAATAATAATAATAACAGTACAACAAACGCTATGCAGTTCAAGCATAAACAGTGTCCTCAGCCTCCCCCTTAAGAGTCCAACTGCAACATTGGAGGCACAGAGAAGTAGTCATACAAACTCCAGTTTGCCGTGGCCCGTGTACATCCCCCAGTGCACGAGCGAGAGAAAGCGCTCACCCCCTCCGCCACCCCCCGCCAGACTCAGCTCGGCCTGCCGCAGCTTATCGCAGCCCAAGCAACAGTTCTCGTGTCCTGTCACGGGGACCATGCACTCCAGGTCCAGCTTAGCCACATGGCCCTTTTTGGCATGGTGGTGCCCGTGGAAGCTGTAATGTAGACGGGAGAGCATCTGCTGCCTCTGGGCTCGCAGTCGCTTGTTCTCGCTGCGCAGCATCCGGAGCGCCAGCATGATCAGCAGCACCAGGATGAGGCCTCCAGCAATGGGCACGGCAATCACTGCCGCTCGGAACCAAACCTCTTTCGCCGAGGCTAACTCCTGAACCCGCGTGATCAAGTTCTGGTTGGAGCTGTCTGACTGGTATCGGTCTGAAAGATGAAAGAGAGCAGTCATTATCGATAAGAACTTACATGGAATAGAAGTGTAGGCAATGTAGCAGTGTAAAAATGCAAAGTTTTAATCATCTAATGTCTACAACGTCCAGTTTTTCATAAACGCTGCTTTTATTAGTAGGACTACAGTGTTCTTGGTTAAAGGATACTCTGAGAGGCACATTCCAGCACAGTGGGAAAATTACATGATCCACATGCAATAAAAAGTATGTGATCTGTATCCAAGCGCTCAAAGGTACATTGCCTACTGCCCGCATGCTCACTGTGCACTGGAACCCATTAAATATCAGACAGCAGCCTGAAGATATGGGAGCTGTAAAAGATGTGTTTGTGTATAATAAGCCATCACAAAGTATGGTGCTATTACAATGTGGCCTAAACTGAAATAACCATAATTTTAAGGACAACAACAAGCACTACCTTTACAGTACTGAATTCTAATGCCCCTCCACAAACCTTTATGTCAGTGGACGCAGAATTTAATAAGCGACTTTGAACAATGAAACTAGACAATTTTCTTACCTGTAGAGTCGCTTCGAGTGTGCGCAATGTCGTGTAGTCCCCGATAGTTGCACATATCATCATGACAGCACTCAATGGGAGATGAGCCTCCATTTAAAACGTCCATGTTCTTCTTGGTGCACACATCCACTGAGTTTAATAGCGGGTCTAGACACCCGTGTGTTAACGGGGAGTTTGAATTAAGTGGGTCCAGTAGCTTGGTGAAACAAGCATTAAGCTCCGACTTGCACATGTATCCTGTGGCAACGCAGTGCGGCGCATCGCAATAGCACCTGATCTCTCCTGTGAATGACAAATGATTTACATAAATTAGGGCTACTCAGTGACACCTGACATAAAACAGCATGTTAAATCCAAACTTAACGACAAACAAACATGGATAATAAACAGCCCCATATACATGTATCTGAACATCCTCACAAATACTACTGAATTGGTTGTGAGAAAAAGAAAAGTTCCCCTGAATCTTCATCTGTTATTGCTTTAACTGAATGGGCCAAGGTTCAAAAACAGTTACTTCAGCCACTCTGTGCTCCAGGAAAAGCGACTGTCAAAACCACAAATGGTGAATTTGTGTATTTCACTACAGAATCAGCTAATGCAATGTTGTAAACCACATGGCAGGTTGTTCCACAGGCTCTAAAGTGACACGGCATTTGTCTACTTTTTATTGCTTGAACGAGAAGCATCCATTTCTCAAGAATTCAAGTACAATAACTATACTAAAGTGACTCTGCTATAAGAAATTCATCAGCTATCAAATCTACACATTTCCGAGTGAGTAGGTTACTGTGTGTAGAACCCAAACAAAAAGATGATATTTTAAAATTAAGCCTAATTTCCGATATGTTGTCTGTGCCAAGGCTTTGAGGAGCTTTCTGTGCAAAGAGACCCTTTCAGTTTATACTATAAAACTTGAATTTTGTAGCTTATAATCAGTGGTTTGTTTGCCAAAGTCAATTTCTTTCAACTCAAATGGAAACTCATAAAGGGAGGGGGGTACTCAGACGTTTGCACGCAAGCTCGCTTGTGTTGAGAACGGCTAGGTGTAGAACAGGAATAATAAGCTTTAATGCTAAGAATGTGCAAAAATACATGAAAATTCAGATAAAAGAGCAACCCCAGCCTGTTCAAAAGTTAAAAGGATGTAGAAATTCAGTAATCTTTTACAGACTTCCTGCATCCACATGTAGAGTAGAACTACAATTTCACCCCGTGGCCTCCCTAAACTTTCTAATGTGCGAACACCACTGCTTCTGCGAAAAAAGGCAAAGAACACACCAGGACACAGACATACAGCCTTCCTGTGGTGTTGGAAAGTGTTTTTGAGCTCCCTGTCCTCTTATTAATGTGAACTACTTACAAAGAGCTACAGGAGTGAAGCAGCCAGAGTAGAGAGAAATATTGGCAATTTGAGAACATATTAAAGCACTGAGCCTTAATTTATCAGAACACTTTTCACAACTGTTTGCTCCTGTAAAATCGAGCTTGTCTATTTCTTATTATGTTAGGATATACTAAACATCACACAGGGTAATCTAAGCTCATCATTTTTCCTTTCCCCACAGAAAGCCATTAAATCAAGCCATGGCCTTTGCACTTCTCCTCAAACTTGTTAATACACTTATAAATATAGAAAAATGTGGGAACTGCAGAAGGAGGAACTGTGAGCCTCTAGCAGTTGGAGGTCAGCCTGCTCTTTTCCTCCCAGCAGGCACACTAATCTAATAAAATGAGAGAAAATGAAGAGTCTCCTGCTGCCTGAAAACAGAAAATAATGGAACTGGATTGCAAGATTCACTTTAGACATGGATGTTTTCAGCCTGTTCAGCCTGATAGGCTTTTTCTGTTCTGTTTTTCAGCCCACAAGTCTACGTGCACTGCACTGCTTTTCCTCCAACGTGAAGTTTGACCCCATTTTCACGTTTGTGTACCCAAGCTGTAACTCTTTATTCTACTGGATGAGCAGGCTGGTGAGTTTTAGGTGTAAGAGAGCAGTTTTGCTGTACCTTTAGTGAGGAGAACGGCCATTGCACACAGCTCCAGCTGAAACCAAAGCGAAACCAAGCTGGAATGGCGATCCATTTACGACAACTCTTCCCGGTGGTCCTTCAAGCCTGTGGCAAGACCCTCCAAATGTGTGTGAGGTGAAGACGTCCTTGCTACATGTGTTTCATACACATCACTGCATTCCCATAAATCCGCAGGCTACATAGCGTCCAAAAAACACAACAACTGGAAACTCAGTCCTCCAGCTCTCTCTCCGGCTCCATAGACGAGCGGAGGAAAGCCCAGATGTAGCGGAGACTCCGGAGATATAAAAAATTAAAGTCGGCAAAAAATTAAAGACGACAAACAGCAGTCCTTGCACGTAACGACTTACACATTCGTGACGGGAAAAAAGAACTCGAAATACCGAGCTTAAAAAGGAAGAAAAAGAGCTGGGTTTAGTCCAAAGGAGCTGAGATTTAGACAGTGTCCCGCACACTACCGCTTACGGCTCTGGACACTCGAGCACAAGAAGCGCAAGGCCACAGTTTATGGGGCTACGCGAAGCCACGCCCCCGGAGACGCCCATTGGACGAAGTTGTTGATTTATTTACATACGCAGTACGATGTAAGGCCACTGTTATGGGACTCCGCTTAGCCACGCCCCTTTCAACTCTCATTGGACGTCCTTATTTGCATATAAAGTTCGTATAAGAACTTTTATTTTTGAACCATATTGGAAATCAAAGAAAAAGAAAACCGAGAAATTCAAGGGACCGCGGATTAATTTTAAAATAAATGCCTTATAGTACACTTTTTAACCACCACATTAAAATTTATGATCTGTAAGTGATGACCGGGTCAGAAATGTGTATTACAGGGTTAACATCCTGATGAAGTTTGTAGTTACCTCAGCCGTTGGTTTAGCATGTAGCTGTTAGCCGTCAGCCTGTTGGAAAACCGCGGCTGATGTGTTAAAGAATTTTAGTAACGTTAAGTAAATCAATTCTTTATGGTCGATTAAATGGCACTCACTCGTAAAATACATGATGACGGTCAGGAGTTACAAGAAATTTGTTCCTCCGGCTACTGAAGTCTGGAAAGGTCGCAGAAAACCGGATGTAGGGACTGAGACTAAGCGGTTAGATAAATTAGCAATCCAAAGAGACACATGGCGCCAGAGAGACGACACACAGACAGAGCCACTCAATTACCCCCAAGACAATCCCATGCAAAACACACACACACAGCTCCGATCGATATCTCCACAGCCCAGCAGTCTGTTCATATGTTTATCATTCGGTTAGGACAGACTGGACTAGCCTAATGTTTGAAACTGAGGGTGAATATCAGTAAGAACCAGTAAGAACAGCAAAGTTCAGGAGAGAGCTGGTATTTAACTGTTATCAACCTGTACAGGTGTAATACGTGTTGAAATAATGAGCTTGTTTAATGTTAAAAAACATAATATATAAAATATAAAGTAATACTAAATAGTAAATTCGGAAAATTACTAGTTATAGTTTTCTACAGGATATTATACACACATTATATATTATTATAAGACACACATTATACACACACACACACACACACACACACACACATATATATATATATATATATATATATATATATATATATATATATATATATATATATATATAAACATCTCAGAAATTAATTAATTAATAAATAATACCAACACCGGCTAACAAGCTGTTGTGTTCGTGTGTACTGTGTAATTTTCGGTTAGAACTCTTGTGAAAATGTACATTTGTGGACTGAAAGGCCCTCTACCTACAGGTCTGTGTCTCCTATCTTTATAGGCTGTGCCAATAAAGTGGCACCTAAAACGCAAATTCTTTAAACAAATTCATAAAAAACTTCAGCCCAGTCTGACAAATACAGTAACTTTGTGAGATGCTGCCTGTGAAGATATAATCGTCGTGGCTGCTGATAGCCGCTGGTGGATAGCAGCTGTTAAAGCGGCAGGCACAGACAGAGAGGCGCTCAGGCCTTGTTGCCCTTTGCCTGCTGATAGACGGCCATCGGTTCAGGGTCAGAGGGGGAAAGGAGGGACACATACATGCACAGATAACTGGATCGACGACAATTGCAGTAATTGTTGGTAATTTAACTAAGGCGCCAGTCTTTTCAGGCTCTGAACCCAACGGCTATAGACTCTACCCACACCTAACGACTAGCCTAGACTTCACACGTTTTAGGACGCATCAAGGACGCCAGAGGGATGAAGTTATGAACACAGTGAACCACGTGGACTAAAGGGAGTAGAGGTCAGAATAAAACAGGTGACCTGTTTCATAAATTATAACATACTAGAACCGTCTTTACCTCTTTAACTTCTCCTGTCACTGCAGGCTGCTAACGCCCGAGTTTCCAACTGTTGGAAAAATAATTTCATTGACTAAAGTTGTTTTACCTTTAGCGAAGTTTCTGATATTTAGAAAGTAACATAGGTCGTATAATATTTACAAGTCAAGATTTGAGCACAGTTAGCTCATTAGAAGCATTTTTTATTAGACTGGCTAATCAAGAGTTTACCAAGGCTGTGCTGTGCTGATGCTCTGATGGAGCAGGCTAAGTGCGTGCTGTCCTCTAGTGTCCAAGTCTAGAACCGCACGCATGGTTCATAATTGTGAGCTCTCGGGTAATCAAGAACTATATAGTAAATACACTGTATGTCCAAGAACACACAAACCTCCCCTCTAACTACAGAAGCCTAATAGAAAGCCCAAGGAGCCTAAGATCACCATATCCAATGCCAATCTTCAGCTAGAGCAGTATAAAGCCCCCAGCATTGGACTGTGGAGCAGTGGAACTGCATACTGTGGAATGACAGGACACCATCCAGTACCTTTGGGATGAGCTGGGGTGGCATTTGTGATCCAGAACTAAAAAACAGTACTTGACTCTCACTAATGCTTTTGTGGCTGAATACAGTCAAGTCCTCACAGCAATGTTAAGTCATTTAGTGTAAAGATGTCCCACACAGAGTAGAAGCTGTTAGAAAATAGGAGAAAAAATACACATTAATACCCTTGATTTCAGAAGAAAGGCTGAGTATGCAGTTCTGGACAAATTTAAGGACATGTAGTGTAAATGCCAGGATCAAAAACAGCTGGTTGGTAAATAAACAGATGAATTTGAAAGGCAGCACCAGTAAACATTACTGATTTGTGACTAATGATTTGTCAAATGAATAGAGAAGTCTGTTATTTCTGCTCTGTCCAATTCAGTGAAATAGGCCTACAACAAGAACAATGGGCATCATATTCGAGCAGAGCACAGCATTACTATAACTTATGATTACTCTAATTTCAAACAAACAATATGAGCCACTTACTCATTGATACTAAAGCCTTCTGAAAGAGTGATACCTTACAAACGGGTCAGGCTGGGTGTAGAAAAGCCTGTTTGGTTCATTTTCTGTTTTCTTTTTCTAGTACTTATATGTGTGAACAGTTTCTGATCTACAAGATTAACAGAAGAAAAGAATAAAAGGTAGGTGAATGTGTGCAGACGTACCTGGGTTTTTTTGATGGGGGGATCATCAAGTTGAAAGAGGGAGCTTGAGAGGGGTGTGAACGAGCCTGTGGCTCTGTTTACACATTCTTCACACCTTAAAAGAGAGAGATAGAAATAGGGAGAATGAGACAGAGAGGTGTAAGGGAGTGGATCGGGAAGAAGGTGCTCAGACGTAAACGTGGCAGGGTCTGTGCCAAATAAGAGTGTGTTTCTGCATGAGAAAGTTGGATCAAATTATATGAGCTTTAAACTTAAACCACTTAATTGAAATGTAAGACATTCTAATTACAGTCAAACATTAAACTTAAAGAGCTGAAGAGTAAGAGAATGACAAGTGCTTTTTTGGCATCTTCTTTTTGTTGGAATTTACAAGACTGGAAAGCACATCTATCTCAAAGGGGAGTTCAAGTGATTTGCTCAAATATCTGTATAATTAAATCAATCAGAGGTAATTAAAGTCATTCAGAGTGGTTTGATGTGAACTTGACCACAATTTTACCTTCATCATTACACATATAACTCAGAAGATGTGTAGATTTATTGATTATTTTGGATATTAAATAAAATGGCTTCCCCTTTAAACACAAAAATGGAAAAATCTGTTTATACTATGAAAGATATTAACACATCTGTAAAGATGCCTAGTAACCTCAGATTAGCAGTAACTTGTAATTCACATCATGGCCCAGTTACTAACTTCTTGACTTACATGGTTCTATGTAGCACCAAAAGGGTTCTTCTATTGTTACAAACTTGGCATTGTAATAAAAGAACTTTCTGTATAGAACCATATAGAACATGTTCTCCAAGAACCATTTCACCATGTAAAGGACACTTTAAGCATGCAAATGGAAGAACCAAAGAGGGTTATCCTATTACAATGTCAAGTTTGTAACAACAGAACCACATAGAACCATATAAAACACATTCTCCATTCGTGTTTTTATATAGAACCACTGTCTTTACCCAACCCTCGAAGAACCATCTTTTTAAGAGTGTACTGTCTTACTACTGTAATGTGGGCATTTATACTTTTTCCCCACTAGAATAACTAGAGCAGTGGGAGAAGACAGTAGTCTTGTCTCTACCATGTGGAGAGCTAAAAGGATGTAGAACTAGGCTTATTAAGAGAGTTTACACAGAATGTCTAAACTATTGCGTCTTTTCAAAAATTAGGCTGTAAACACTTCTGACCTGTAGACCTAACTATGAATAATTAATAACAAAGCAATGACCTTTAATATACTGTAGTGGTATTGCCTGATAAAGGATTTACTAATCTTGGCTGCCACCCAGAACAGCAGAAATGTGTACATTATACAGTTGTGTGAAGAAGTAAATACATGTCATGAAGAGTTTAGACTTTAACATATTTCAACATATGGATATCTAATTTATATCTGTACTGTTGATAGATAAAGGAATGACACATTTGATAATTTTGTCATCCTTAATATATGTTAAATAAAGAGAAAAGCATTTCTGTTTGTTGGAAATAGTAAGCACACCTCTACATCTATCACTACTTCAAATGGGTCAAATTGAAATCAGGTGCACCCTTTCAGGTGTGAATGACTAGAACACTGTCAGAGACAGGAAACTGTCTTATTTAAACCTCAGATAACTGGACTGTTTTGCTCTTTGTTATTGGAGTCTATGGTATCATGTCTAGATCAGAAGAGCTCTCTGAGGCCCTTAGACAAAAGGTTGTACACTATATGGCCAAAAGTATGTGGACATCTGACCATCACACCTATAGGAGTTTGTTGGATATCCCAGTCCAAAACCATGGGCATTAATATGGACTTGCCTGACCTTTGTGGCTGTAACAGCCAACTCTCTTCTTGAAAGGCTTTTCACAAAATTTTGGCTTTGTCTGCTGAAATTTGTGAAGGAGCATTTATGAAGTCAGGCACTGATGTTAGGCAATCAATGTCCCACTTCATCCCAAGGTGTTCAGTTGGGTTGAGGTCAGGGATCTGTGCAGGCCAGTGGTGTTCCTCCACACCAAACTCATCATACCCTTTATGGACTTCAATTTGTGCACAAGTGCAGTCATACTGGAACAGTAAAGGGTCTTACCCAAACTGCTGCCACAAAGTTGGAAGCATATACTTGTTTAAAATGTCTTTGTATGCTATAGCATTAACATTAGTCTTCACTGGAACTAAGGGACCAAAACCTGAAAACAGCCCCAGACCCTCATCCCTCCTCCACCAAACTTTACTACTGGCACTCTTCGCTCTGGTTGGTAGTGTTCTCCTGACATCCATCAAACCCAGATTTGTCAATCAGACTACCAGATATTGAAGCGTAATTCATCACTTCAGGAAATGTTTCCACTGCTGAAGAGACAGCATGCTTTTCACCAATGCGCAGTCATCTTAGGCTTATGTGTGGCTTCTCAGCTTTAGAAACCTATTTTATAAAGCTCCAGAGTCAGTTTGGAACTCTGTAATAACTACTGCAACAGAGAACAGGTGATATTTATGTGCTACACACTTCAGCACTCAACAGCCTTGTTCTGTTTGTGTTCCACCGCTTCGTGGCTGAGTTAGTGTTACTCCTAGATGCTTCCATTTCACAATAATAGCACTTACTGTTGATCGGGGCAGATCTAGCAGAGCAGCAATTTCACAAACTGACTTGTGGCAAGTGGCTTCGTATGACAGTTCCAAGTTTGAAGTGACTGAGCACATCAATAAGACCCTTTCTATTGCCAGTGTTCGTCTAATTGCATGGCTATTTCCTTGATTTTACACTCTTACTATCAATGGGTGTTGCTAAAACACCTAAACTCAATAATTAGGACGAGTGTCCACGTATCCTTGTGTATATATTGTAGATGAGCCTGGAAAGGGGTTTAATAATATTTTGAAAATACTGGAAAACAATCAGTCCACTATCTGAAAGATCATCTACAAATGGATACATAACATCTGATGGAAAAGGGAGTTGCAGGAAAAAAAAAAGATTGCATTTCACAATTTAAGCCACCCGATCAGAACTTCTGCAAAACGTACACATTTTCAAGACAAATATGTTTCATGAGACACTAGTCCAGTTAAATTCTAGACTGTATTGATAGTTTGATGATCTACGTATGGTATATAAATAAATAAATATGGTATACAGTCCAGCTTATGAGTTTGCACATGCAGTTCTCAATCGGAACAGCAGATGGAGCTGCATGTCTGTATATCAGAGACCCAGCCATTCTCCTGGAGATCAACCCTCGGTTCAACTTTAATGCTAACGATGCTGATTCCACTATTAAAAGTTTTTTTTTTTTGCGAGCAGAATCACACAACAGAATCAGCAAGTTTTATACAGACATGTTCCGAACACAGTGTTGGCAGCTAGTGGGATTGCGGAACTGACTACACGACACCCAAGTGAAGGGGCACCTCTAAGCATCATGGAAAAGGTTACATTTTAGTATCAACTCACACATACATGAATATTGATAAAAATAAATACCCTTAAGAATTTTGCATTCATTAAAAATACTGGTTAAGCTAATCGTCCATTTTAAATGCATTTTCAATTTATTGCAGCACCTAAAATGTCATGTAACACCCCTGCAGATGCAGTGTATGTATGTATGTATGTATGTATGTATGTGTATGTATATATACACACACACATACATACATACATACACACACACACACACACAAATATGGAGGACAAAACTAGAAAAGAGGGTACTGAAGAAAAACCATTTTTAACATCAATTTTGTAAATGACCACCAAAGAAATGCTGAGCTACAACACAAATTAGGAACCACACAATCCTTTCACTAAAACTAATATAAAATCTGTCATACTGATATAAAAATGACCACCAAACACAGGAACTCGGTTTTACTTTAGCATGTTTATTACAATACATACATTTCACATTTGACCTTCTGACCCCAGGTGACCCTGCCCTGATTCTGTTGTAGCGGGGTTGGTTATGTCCAGTCCTTGGCCGTGACCTTCCGACACTCATCTTTCTACTGTCCAGTAGCACTAACTCCACTCTGTCCAATCAGGGTGCAAAGGAAAATGTGTGGCAATAATTTATGAATACAACATATGATATACTAGTAAATCACTGCAACTTTTAATAAAACTTTTTTTTTAACTCCATTATTACTTAGCAACTGTACAAAGGAATGAACTCTTGGTTTTTAATGCAAGTTGCAATAAACTCCTCACACTTTTTTTTAAAAGTACAGTTTAAACAAAAATAAGTAAGGAAAAGAAATAAGAAAAATAAACTTGTTGGAAAGTCTGGAAACCAACTATAAAAAAGGGGTTTCTTGGTGGACAACTAGACTCCTCCGCCATTCCAAGGAGAAGTCAAACTGGGTCACAGGTGGGTGGGGGGTTTCAGATCGAGCTGCAGGAATAGGTCCTCCCTCCCTTTCAGTATCTGTTCCACTGAGCAAAGACTTCACGCTCCTTTTTCCTTCCCTTTTCTCGCTCACATTCACTTCTTCACACAAGCAGGCACTGGTGTCGACAGTGGGCACAGCTGGGCCATCAGGACAGTTAAGAGACGACTGAACCATGTAGACAGACAAGATCTAAACCCTTCAAAAAGGCATGGGGTGGGGGGGGGGCGCGAAACCATTACAGTGCAACCAGAGAAAGAAAGATGTAAAAGGTCCAATTAACCATTTAGCGATGCTACCATCATTCATATGCGGAGAGGGAGGGAGCAAAACAAAACGAACCACACAGGGTGTAAAGGGTAGAGGTGTGCATGGTTGAGAGGAGACAAAGGTGTGCTTGTGCGTGTCTGTGTTGGTGTGCCTCATCATCCCCACTAGTTGCCCCCGTTGGATCGTCCACTTTTTTCCATGCAGGTCTGGTACATGCTCAAGGCATCGGCTCACTGATCTTTTTTCTGAAGAGCGTTTTTTGGATTCTATTTTTCAAAATCAGGTTCAACAATCCACCGTCAGGTTTTGACATATGGAGGCCTGAGGACAATGAGTGCCCTCAGTCAGTACTGGTGTTGATTAGTTTTATCATTTGGATGTCAAAAGCTTTGTTTTTTTTTTTTTTTGAGATAGGCATGGCTTCCCATGGCTTCATCTACAAAACATATTTACAACATGGAAATAACATCTACAAGAAATCTACATATACAGGGGCCCTGGCAAGAGCAGGTCCCAAAAACCTCTCCACCCCACCTGGCCCACGACCTCCACCCAAAATTCCCCCCACCCTCGCCCCTCTGTCCACAGCCCGCCGCAGCTCCTTAAGTTTAAGACTGGGCCCAGAACAGAACGCAGCAGAACTTCGGCTCTCCAGGGTTCTGTGCACGCAAAATGGGTTCCCCACTCATTCTCCTACCTTGTCTCTCTTTCCGTTCAAAACCCACACTAAAGAAACCCAGAGTCCTCAAACCATGAAGGAATTCTGATTCTTCAACTTTTCAAGTTCTTTAATTTGTTGTCTCAGAAATAGTATCCTGTGAGGAAGAGAACAGGGGTAAACAAATAAGTTCACAAATATACAGAAAAACACCAACAAGCAATAAAGTCTTCAGTAAATGTGAGCTTCGTCCCCTATATCAACAAAAATGATGCATTCAATCACTGTTTAGGGGGGGCACATGACCCTTGGACGCAGTTTGAATGACCAGCAGTAATTACCTCTGTTCACGCAGCGTGGCCTGGATCTCGCACACTCGCACAAGTGAGCGCAGGTTCTTCAGCTCTGTGCAGTTCTCGGACATGTAAATGCTGCCCATGGTGTGGGCCTCCTCACGTAATCGTGAAGCCTTAGCCATGCAGGGGGAGGGGAAAATTTTTTTTTTTAAAAAACACAAATTCCACGTCAAGTACCAACATTCTCATATCAAGCACAAAAACTGTTTTACCCCAGGAAGAGCTGCAGATTGCAAGACAATGTCTTGATGTTGACTTACACCATTACTTTTCAATTGTTCAGTCAGGCTTACAAGGCTTAGGTTTTCATGGGGTTACAGGGTTTCTCAACAGCATAATGAGTGGAGCATACACAATACTTAATCATTTGTATACTGAATTATTACCCAAAATACAAACAAATATTTTTGCCAGATTTAATAAACTCTGTGCCAACATGTTTCAAGTCAACATTTTTGTTTTTAGCAATGTACATTTTGGATTCTGCTGAACACGGCCATTAAAAGCAGAGCCATATGAATATATCACAATATATGGCTTTACAGAAAATCCCACAAGAATCCTGCGGTCACATACACACAGTAATACACTACGTGCATGTACTACATACAGACTACATACCAATCTAAGTTAACCACCAACACAACAACTGATACTTTAAATTATATGGAATCTATCCTCTCCATTACACATGCCACACCACTTTCCAACTCAGCTCTGCAACCCACTAAATATGACACAAACTGTATTAAGCATAATTCATCTGTGCTTTCCAAACCTTAGAAATAAACAAAAACAAGTAAAAATAAATCAAATCACTTGTGTCATTATTTATTCACACAACAAGCTCATTAGTCACAAGAAATGGGGCATGCCTCTGTGTGCACTTATTACGCCATGCTGCAGAGCCGTTGTTTAAGGACAGCAAGCATGAATGGAAACAGTAGCTTTTTCTAGGTAAAATTTCATCTAAAAGAGGTGAGCAATTAAAAAGTAATGTATACTGGATTGAATTCCATACCAATACCACAACATGACTACAAACACAGTTGTTCAGAGTAGTAAAGTAACAAACACACACACACACACACACACACACACACACACACACACACACACACACACATACAAGCATGTGATTAGCTATCTAGATAATGTGTCAGTGAGCAAGAGAATAACAATGGCTGCAGTGGTGCTGCATTCATTCATCAGTTCACTTGTTCCTGGTTTGAATAGCAAATTTCAAATAGTTTTTGATGTACTTGACAGTAGGTTTTTTAGATGTACAGATGCCAAGTGAACATCCCACCCTGCCAAAACTCCACCACTGCTCCATATCATTTAGAATTAACTGACAAAACAGAGCACACACAAACACCATGTAGAAACATATCACAGTACCTGTTTCTCGACGTGTTCTGCGGGCCAGCCCTGCACGTGTTTGATGAGGTTCTCGTTAAAGTGCGCGGCCAATGAGGGTGTAAAAGAGCAGGCTGGTCTGCCAGTGGATGTGCCAGCTGGTACTGAACCTGCAGGCATTGCCCCACTCACCACACTGGCACCCTGGCCTCCGCCACTGCCGTTATTACTGCCACTGTTACTGCTGCCGACATGGTTAGGACCAGGAGAGGGGCTTCTCTGACTGCTACAGGGAGAACAGAAGAGGAAAGGGGTCAGTGCTCCAATGCAAGGTATAAATTTTACTCTGTTAGATATACACCACATTTTGGGAGCAACTGTGTTAACTTTCCACAAGACATCATATCAGTACAAATGTAATCAATATTAGGGTGTAGTTTAGCAGCAATACAAAATGATAACAATTAGCAAACATTTATGAGTAGCTGGAGCAACTGGGAAGTTATTCTGATAGCCAGATATTGCTGTCTATTTTTGGTATGCTGTTCCACTGCTAACCAGAAGATGGCAGTCAAACACTACAATTAGATAAAATTTCACTATCCAGTGCAATAACACTATTTCACAGAAACATGTCTAGGTAAGCAATATTGCAACATAATTTCTTGTGTCTAGATTATGTATTTTACACATGTAAACCATTCCCTTCTCACACTATACCACTTTTTAACAACTGGCCAACGGTTTTTATGCCTGTGATTCAGCTTGATGCAGAAACACGGTTCATGACATGCCAAAACCAAATTAATATATGTTAGAATGTCTACAGTGATAAGCCATGGTTACTTGCGCTCTCTCTCTCTCTCTCTCTCACACACACACACACACCTCTGTCTCTGCAGTGTCCGTGGGGAGTTGCCGTTGTCATGGTGTTTGTCTGAGGGGAGCGTCTGCTGAGACGAGGGTGGAGGAAGAGAACTGGACTTAACCCCCAGAGCATTAACCTAAGACAGAGAGAGAGGGTGAGGATGAAGTGCAAATGTACTATAATAAATAATAAGTATATCTGTTGACGGCAACACCACAGTAAGCCAAATCCAAGATGGCACTGGAAACATGCCTGCAGCACGTACCTTGGTCTGTGATGACACAGGCGTGGTGCTGAGTGGGGGTTTGAGAGGTGCTGTATTAGTCTGGGGCGTACTGATCCTGGGGGACACATACGACCGTGGAGATGAAGCATCTGACGTCAGGGACATCGGAGACTGACTGGACTGCTGGGCTACTCCAAAAAAAGGACAACACATGGAGGCCAGAATGAGAAATTAGGCAATTCGCCACCACAACAAAAAGTTAAAACTGAAGAAACAAAATAATGCAAAAATACACATAATTTATTCTTTTTTTTTAAGTTTATTTTATTTACTATATGTACATGTTTGCCTGATACTGTGCACTGTGAGCTGTAACCAAAACCAAATTCCTTGTCTGTGTAAGCATACCTGGCCAATAAAGCTTGATTCTGATAATTGACTGAATGAATCTCACAACAGTGTTGCAACTTTAAGATCAGATGGGCTGTTGTTGCCACAACACACCCAAACACAGGTGGCCAATATCAAGCGTGATCAACTGTAAATTAAAATGGGTAATTACGTATATTCAACTAATGAAAAGTCACCTTATTATTCAAACAACATCTGTTTCAAAAAGGAAATAATTTATAGGCAGACCATTGCAAACTAGGTATGCATGAATTGTGATTTTCTATGGTAAATTCAGAGCAAACCATCTGCATTAGCACAGTGAGACAGTATTTGTGCTACTCGAGAGATGATGGCCACAACTAGGCCTGGGTGATATTTAAAAATAATTAGCACAATATCTTCTTGTTAAAAATAGATCAATTACACCCCACCCCCGACCTCCACAAACACACACAAAGTCCGCAGCACCTAAGCATTATGCTATTTTTAACTTTTATATATTTTTACGGCAACTCATAAATCTTTCCATGAAAATAACTCATTTAACAATATAATTCTGAGTAACAAACACCTTTTGGTAATTAACTATTTTAACTCTCATTCTGAAAGTTGTCACTGCAAACAAGTGTATTTGTGAGTCTGTGCTGCTGTAGGTTAATTTCAGTTTTTTCCTCTTTAAATGATGCACACTACTCTACCGTAGCCTAACATTTTTTTAAAGGCTCCATAATAAACTACTGTTTTACAGTAAACAGGAACAAACATTACATTTAAATATTACTGAGTATTTAGCAAGCTGTTTAAAATTAAATTAGCCCTCCAGTTCTCCATCAATACTCTTTCCCAACATGCCTAATTATATCCTTTGAAGCATCAGGTTACTTTGTTGTTGATAAGCTAGTGCTGATTCAAGTATCAATATCAGGATCGGCTGTATCAATATTTATGAATTTACTTTTTCACAACTCATTAATTACTGAGTGAAATGGAGACTGCATTCAAGCCTGAGAGTACAATGTTTACAACATATGTGGCAAATATGCTTTAGCAGTTAGGCTTTCGGTCTTTATTATTTGTGCAAAAGCTGTGCTGGAGAAAAAAAAAAAAAGATTTCACTCTAGTCCCTTCTGCTTGATGCACATGCAGGAGAAACAGAGCACAGAGTGAAGTTCATTCATTAGTTTATCGTCATCTGTTATGCTGGAATGAAATGACTAAGTAATATTAAGGCATGTTTGATCCTATTTAGTTGTGTACTTGAGTCAGTTTCACTTTTGCAGACATGGTTTAGTCCTCAGTTGTAGCGAGTTAGTTAGCAGTCTGATGTAATTAGCGCTTATCCATTAGCATTTTGGTTATATGTTTGTAGCACTGCTTCTCGTTGCAGTGCTGTTAAAAACGAAAGGAATGATACTGTCATGTATGTGATCTGTACAACAACAAATTTGGTTTGTTAATAATTTTACAGCCACAGACTTGCTCACAGATGCAAACTGACTGCTGCTGTGCCTCTGGGTCAGTGATTAAATGTGCCGAAAGTTCAGTCCTCCGTTTCTCTTTGCTCTGACTGGAACCTCACAGTGAACCACATATATAATACAGTTCTCCTAGAATCTCCTCTATTATTTATCATTCTTCTAATCTTTAAAACTTTAAAACAGATGGGAAAACTCATAGAAAAAAAAAGCATGTCATTATCTGTCCCCCCCAAATTGTATTTTTTTTTCTTTATTTATTTACCATCACTGTAGTTTTAAAAACAAATTATAGGGAAAACATTGACCAAAAAATGTCTGTTGTGCATCTGGTGTGTATTGTTATTGTACGCTTGTATTGTGATGTGTATCGTATTGTGAGGGTACTGACAATACCCAGGCCTAAGCCTAGCCACAACTAGCTTCAGCAACTACTCTAACACTTGGCCCATACAGACAAATTCACAATTAAGGGAGTTAATTACAGAATATGAGCAGCCTTAGCATGGATCGCACATGGCAGCACGCTGTCTGTGAAGTGAGCACAAGACCATGCTGGTATTCTGCTGAGTATCTGAGTGGCTCAGAGTGTGTGGTCTTTACCTTGACTGGAGAGCTGAGCTGCCTGGGAGAGCAGTGTTGTGATATTAAAGGCAGACGGACCAGCAGTCAGGATCTTATGAAGCATTGACTGCAGTGACGCCTGTGTTACTGCAGCTGTGAGAACTACACACACACACACACACACACACACACACACACACACACACACACACACACACACACAAACAAAAGATCACAAAAGAGGAGCAAAATGAGAGCCAGCCATCATCAGACTTACAAAAAAAAAAACACCTTAACATTACAAGACATTACATACAGGAAAAAAGGTTCTGAACAACTAATTATGTCTTGAAAACGCAACTTTCTAAACTTGCTAAAAAAGCTAAGAGGCATCAGAGCAAACTCATACTTTTGTCACAGCACAGCATGGCACAACACAAATGTGACTTGCGTATGAATAAGAAGACACAGGTAGCATAATAAAACATTGCACACTGACAAGTTAACATTGCAGTCAATTTCTTTGGCAAGGCGTAATTTTGCATCCACAGGAGACCATGTTTGTTTAAAGGTCAAAACTCAGAGGCATACCACTTAGAAGGCTGCTATCAGCCCTCTAGTAAGACCATAAGTACTTAATTAATAACAATAACAAAGAGCACTTTTTGTAATTTAAAGCGATACACAATGGCAGACTTAGCTGAGCAAGAATACAGACATGTTACCCTATAATATGCACAAAAATGACACAGAAAAGAGTGTTTGAGTGTTTAAGGTCCAAAAGAACTTATTTAAGTGTATTTTACTCGTGTAACACTCCAGTAGAGTAAAGAAAAAGTGCACCAGTAAACAACTGCTGAAACCTTTTCAGATCTACTGAACAGCAAGTTCTGCAAGAAGTGGTACCAAATGCAGTTCTAAGTTTCTAAGTGCTGACTGTCAAACAAAAACAAAACAAACTTGTTTCTTCCATCAAATGTTTGCAACAATCAAATCAATCGCAATGAAGTCTTCATCTGTCATTCCTTATTCTTGATCTCAGTTTTCACTAGTGAGGCAGTTACCTTCATTGATCTTGGCCATATCCACGCTGGCGTTGTTTAGCTGAAGGGCTGTCTGCAGAGCAGGGAGAAGCTGGCGCAAGAGAGAGGGGTCTTGAAGGATAGTGGGCGTGGCAGGTGATTGCATTACCGGTGAAACAGGAACTGTAGAACTTGAGGCGGAGCTAGCAGGATTGGCAGCACTTAGGCCAGACACAGCAGCAGATGAGGAAGAGGAAGAAGGGTTGAGAGAGGAAGGCTTTTCTGTGGCAACCGCAGGCTCTGATTAGAATGAAGAAGACAATAAATAAATAATGAGGCACACAAAATTAAATAAAATCTGTGAGAACAGTACATAAGCAACCTCTTGCCTGCATTCACTCAAAGTGAACGTGCAACATATTCAAACTGAATTTATCCTTATTTGGGACGTTTTTCAAAACAGTTCATAGAAGTGAAAGGGGTAATTGTGACTTGACTGCATGCGCTGCAAATGGGTATTTGCCCAAAACCCATGTACTGAAGTCAAAACCTATTTTTCTGCAACTGGTCAAATGGAAAAAGACTGAGAATATAAAGATCAGGTTTGCAAACTCAACAGGCTACTTCCACTGCTGTTTAAATAAAGGCCTAGATAATGCCTGTTAAGACAAACTACCAACAAGTTTATAGAGAAAAGGTCAATCTGATTTGTTAATCAGACTAATAAAGTTTTCAGCTGTTTTTCCTGAAAAGCAGCAGTCATACACAATACAAGCAGAAGTTCACATACATCATAAGCCACACAAATTCTAAAAGGAAAACTTGAGTACCATAAGCAGCAAAATGAGCCTAGCGAACCAGTGAACATGCAATTCTTGTTTAAAAAAGGCTGAGGACTGAGGCAGAAAAAAACAAAAATTTGTAGTTATATCCATTCATCACAGTAATATTAGCTGACTTGAAGCTATAATGCTAGCACTATTAGTGCAGACTTGACGTAGATGGCAGATTCAGTGGGTTGTAGTCAAGAACATGCAAAGAGGAAGCATAACATACAAGTTCACAAAAGGAACTTGTGCCACAAAAGGACACATCCTCCTCCACACAACAGCGTTCTGTATCCATGCTCCCCTTGAACTGTTCAGACAATAAAATAAAATGCCACATTTTCTATACAAGTGTCTACAGAAGTTGCAAATTCATTAATCTGAATTCTGAATTCAAATTCTACCTTGGATTTTCCCCACTGTAAATTAACTACATATTAGTCCTGATATACCAAAAAATATTGTTTCAGACTGACAACAGCAACTTTAGAGGCTCATTGAATCATTGGGGCAAAAGGCTACTAGAGGACAGCAACAAGGTTGTAAAAAGAATAACAAAGTTATTAACAGCACAGTCATAAATGTAACATGCGGCCAGTTACATGATTTTCTCGTCTCAAATCACTCCCCCACAACCAAACATGAAAACCCATTTGCATATGCAGCAATTGTGGTTAAGGCTTTGACCTTAAAGAGGCACACACTCACTAGCAAGTTTTACTTAAAACAGGGAGCCAATCAACAAGTTGGCAAGTTTCAGAATCAGTAAACATTCCTTGAAAGCCATGTTTATGAATAATATTCGTCCACCACATTTAACATCCAGATTTCTGATTCCATTTGGTCATGTATGAAGACACAAAAGGCAATGCTGTAACTCTAACACCAGTAACAGGAGCGTTTGTTGCCCTTAGCCTAATGCTTCTGACGGCCAATCCACTGGCTTTTAAAAAGCTGACCGATTTGGGTGTGAGCTATAATGGACCTGAATATTAATAGAAATATTCACTACTGTACTTTTCTTCAATTTACAATCTTGACCTCCCACTTTGTTTTCCTATAACTTTTAGGTATCTTTTCAATAATACAGAACAAGGATATTTTAGTACTAGTTTTCTGCCATGTTTATTTTCTAATATTTCTTCTAGGTTTTTCTGGACCTGCACCAACGCTGGAGTCAATCAGGTAGCAGCATTTTGTCACTGTCATGCAAAAACCTCATTAATTATATTTACATTTATTTGTTGCAGAGGTGAGCCCTACCACTGGCGTTTAGCAGATCATACTCTTACCGGGAGGGAACGATGGCTTGGATTCTTTACTTGCCTACCATTAAGCTATTTCCCCGATAGCCAATCTTACCTACAATACGCCAACATACAATATGTGGCTGCAGGTTTTCCATTCAAGCAGAATTCAAGTGCATGGCTAGCAGCAAATAAATAAATAAATGAACGAAAGAAAGAAAGAAATTGCTTTCTTAAATTGAATCATTTGCTTACCACTTCAGAAATTCTGATGCCGTAAATGTGGTATGAACAAAGGAATGCATTTTAAGACTGTAAAAGGAAAAAACCCAAGATAAAATCTAATCCTTCAATTAGATTCGGACCGGTCTCAAAAGAAGCTGACACAGAAACGTAAGCAAATGTGACTTGTCTATGAACCCAGCAACACAGGAAATGATCAGTCCTCGCAACTCAGCACAGGTTCAGGTCATCAGCATTCTCCTTCATGGACTCCTTAATTTTGTAACACTGTCTACACAAGCATGGCCTGAGACACCTCTGCTGTATTCTAACCCAAGTTTCCCTAAATGCTCTAAACAACCATAGCATATTTTACAGCACAAGGGAGAGTTTGTGAATGCTCTCTCTGAAGACCTTGCAGCCTTTTCTATAACACTGAAATAACAAACCTTCCTAAGCATGTCATTTTTTTTCCACATTGTATCTTCCAACAAATTCGTTAAATGTTCTCTCCTGTTGGTGAGACCAGCAACTGAGATAAGCTTAAAGACTCTGGGATCTGGGTGAAACACAGATGATTGTGTTTTAAACATCATAAATGGGACAGATTCTCATATTTTCCAATCACTTTTTTTTTTTAAAAACAGTAAAGGCTGATGTCCCACTCACAAACCAGGGTCCAACTCAAACAACATCAATCTCTTAAGACTACACACTTACTCATACAATTAAAGCTATTTATACTAATTTACTGATTATATGTATTGTTTATATTTACTGTTTAGTGCAAAAATTAGCATGTCAAAGCATGATATCTATGAACTTGTGCTTTACATTTTCAAAAAAACACTTGTCATCATTTTTACTATTAAAGAGAGTCTTCCAAACTATTATATAGAATAGTATTTAGAGCCAGTGGCCTTTTCTGCTCAAACTCATGGGATGACGTGCCTCTGCCTTTATAAGGCAAGACCTACAAAATGTGTAAAATGTCTAACAAAAAGACTAATTTGCCTGTGAAGAAACTAATTTTTCCCCACTTACTTAGCCGAACTCTCCTGCTTCACCAACATTTTGGATCATGCCTGTCTGGCTAGATTTAACTCCTGGCAAACTGGATTAGACCATTATTCCCCAAAGGGAAGGAGGTTTTGTATATAAAAGCGAACGAAGGCACTATTAAGTTTGTTGTTCAAGTCACTAGTACTCTATGACTGAACATCAGCTTGCCCAGTTGGGCAAGTGATTTTTAAAGCTACTGTTCTGATGAATATTTCATTTGCCCCAGGTATTCGGACGATCATTACTGTTGAGCCCTGTAAACACTCTGCCAATGCCTAAGCCGAATAAGAATTTAATGTCATTTAAAAAGTGCTTTATTTTCTTTTTTGCAGTGTAATGCATTCTGAACTCTGTACATGCCAGCAACTTTGTCAAAGTAGGCTTGAAAGGAAATTTTGGTATTTACACATCCTTCAAGCATATCCCTAAATCTTAGTATACCAACCACAGAACACATGTAACCAGTAGCAAGAATTGAGCCTCTACATTTTCTATTAAGAAGAGAAATCTGCATGTAATGGTGTGTCTCACTGCTGATACTCACTGGTACTGGAGAAGCTGGTGGGAGCAGCCTGCATGGCTTCACGCCTGTAGTCCCTGTCTTTAGGGAAGCTGTTGACCACTGCTGTTGTTGTTGCTGTTGCCATTTTATTCGCCTCCTTCTGTCTCTGCTCTCTGAAGCGTGAGAGTTAGAGAATGCACAAGTGAACAGGAAAGTAAGCACATTAAGCAATCCTGACTTGCCACCTTAAGTGATATTTCCTCCTATAGTGCACTTTCTACCTGAAAACCGTTAAAAATAACTGATTATCTCTCATTTGATGATTTAACTGATTATACTCTGATTAATCAAGTAACTGTAAATCAAACAGAAAGAAGTACAAACGACCTGAAAGATACAACAATCCATTTTTAAGTAACAAACCTGCACAGGACATTATCCTTTTTCATTTTTTGTACTATTTTATTCAAAAAACACTTTTACTGGCATATGTTTGTTACTTTTTATAAATTTGCTTTAACGGGTGTACAAAAACGTGTGCTTTAACGTGTGTACTCCTAGTATGTAAATCCTAGCAGAGTGCCAATTATCACTGAAAGGGTATAGAAATGGCTCTATCTTCACTCAAATCAACTGCTTATTTGAAACAAGAGGCACCAAGTAAATTTGTTCACTGTGTTTCTTTAATTTTTGTTTAAGTACTATTTAACGTGGAAAATTAGGCAAAATCTCTAAATGCTTCAGAAAAGTACTGCAAGGGTTCAAATCAACAGCAATACTTCTGGAATTATTTCATTATTAGTGCACCCCTTTATGTATTGTATTATTTATGTATTTACAGACTCTTCCCATTGCTGTGGGACAATTTTGGGGGAACGCTGTGGTCAGTGAGCATTAATACATGTCCAAAACCTATATAACTGGACTACCTACTAGAAGGAATAGACCATGAGAAAATGTGAAAATCCTCGAGCTTAACATAATTACAACCAGGACCCCCAAAAACCTGCCTTACTATAAAACTTGCACATTCGAAGCCCTCAAATATTTTTGCCCCTTAAAAAAAGTGCTGACTCAGCATGCAAGAACAATAAATACAGATCATCAAAATAGTGCTTTCTGTGTGTGTGTGTGTGTATGTGTGTGTGTGTGTGTGTGAGTACGTACCTCTCCAGCCACTCCTTGGGTTTCTCCCACTGTGACACTTCTGTTCTGCAGTTGTAATAGTACTTCTTTCCTGAAGAGCTGATGTGTTCTGACCAATCATCTGCAGGGTCATATGGCTGAGGATTTAAAGAGAAATAGTTACATTTTTAAGATACAGAAAAGAAGAATGACCAAAAGTGGATAGACACTCAAGGCTTGTATGCCCAAGATAAAACACAAGATAAAACTGTTCTAATATGAAGGGGAAAGCCATTTCAATTACTCTACTGAAATCCACTCGAAATACCCATTGTTTAACTCCAAAATTTCTAAATGTATTTTTAACGTTATCGCAATAAACACATCGTTAAGAGCTGTGACAACAGAACAGATGAGATTACCTCATGCATGCAGCACACACCATGAGAAGCCTGATGAGCACTGGGACTAAACCCTGCTCTCCCATACGGTGAACGAGTAACTTAACCATTTGCCTAAACAGCCAATTAGAAAACCCACATGGGCAAAGTTCAAAAACTACTCCATGCCTGTGAAAACGCATCAAAAATTAGAACTGTTCTTATACCCAGTGTTATGTTTCAAGTGTACATGGCAGTAATGGCTACTTTATAAAAAGGGTGGTGGGAAAGATCGATTCTTAGATGCATCTCGATGCAGACATGGACGATTCTGAATCGATTCACAAATGTCTAAAATCGATTTTCTAAATTTTAATTGATAATGTTGACGGAACACAAAATGAGGAACTTGGAAGTGCGGAAGTGCAGCGCCTGGACAGTCTGTGACATGCACATAAAAACACAACTGGATGAGTGAGAAATCCGACCGACACCCTCTACATTAAAAGCTAGGTTAGGTCAGGAATTATTAAAAGCTAGGTTAGGTCAGGAATTATTAAAAGCTAGGTTAGGTCAGGAATTATTAAAAGCTAGGTTAGCTAACCCAAATGTTAAGAAGAGCCATTTTTCAACAAAAATCAAAACCACCTTGGGAGCCACAACATTTTATGTTCAGTATGTGATAATGTCCTGGTATAGACTAAAAAATATAAACGAAAACACAGATTTATTTTGTTCTGCTTTAAGCTTTAGCTCAGCTATAGCCGTTTTCCTCCCATCTCCACCAGAAAATTTTTCCTCAAAAGTTGAATCGTTTCTTGTAAAATGTCTCAACGTTCGACTGTTTTACGAGGCTGAAGTCAGCTACTTATTTGCCAGCTTCTTGTTTGAATTTTCTCGTTCCACCTTAAATTCTGCCTGAGGCACCAGAATGTAAATGCAGCACCATTTTAGGTGGAACGGGAATATTTGAAAGAGAAGCTGACTTCAGCTTCGCAAACTTTTAGTTTTTGACAGTCTCTCATTGCAGGTTTAACGTTCCAGGAAACCAACTGTGCTGCTTATAAATGCGAATAAGTCCATTTGTCTCCAAATGTTCATCTTAAATCTCTTGCTTTGCCTTTTCGTTAGCTACTAGCCAGGCGAGACTGCATTGCTATGTGACCTGCAGTCTGCATGCCAGTTCTCAGTAGTTGAGAATCAGGGCTTTTGTGCTGTTGTACACTTTGGAGCTGAGATTCAGTGTACCGTCTGACACAGCGACTCCACTCTCTACAAGAAGACCATAACCGAAGTTACAAAATCAAAAAAAATATAAAAGAAAATGGGTATGACAGCTGTAACATGTGCTGCGTCCTGTGGGCAGTGTCCTGTGACCACTGAAGAAGGACTAGAAGATGACGAACACAAACTGTGCAGCAGCAGATGAGCTATCGTCTCTGACTTTACATCTACAAGGTGGACTGACAAGGTAGGAGTGTCTAATAGAGTGGACAGTGAGTGGACAGTGTTTAAAAACTCTGGCAGCACTGCTGTGTCTGATCCACTCAGACCAGCACAACACACACTAACACAACATCACATCAGTGCTGAGAATGATCCACCATCCAAATAGTACCTGCTCTGTGAGGGTCCATGGGGGTCCTGACCACTGAAGAACAGGGTAAAAGGGGGCTAACAAAGTATGCAGAGAAACAGATGGACTACAGTCTGTAATTGTGGAACTACAAAGTGCCCCTATATAGTAAGTGGGGCTGATAAAATGGACAATGAGCATAGAAACAAGAAGGTGGTCATAATGTTATGCCTGATCGGTGTATACACACACACACACACACACACACACACACACACACACACACACACACAGTAGCCTTTATGGAAAATACAGGCTTTAAAATTCTCTCTCTACAGTATTCTTTTATCTCTGTTGAGATGATACTGACTGTTTCTCAGCCTTTTAGTGCGCAAAAAATATGCTGGCAGTTCTGATCTTTGTAGATGTTAGCACTTCATTTCTATTTTTCACAACAGTGAATGGTGCTTTGTAATTTTGTGTTTTGCTTTTTGCTTAAATTTGCAAAAAACAAACAAAAAAAGGTCTGTACTTGCGTCACATCCAGTCAGAGGCACACTATTTTAACAATAATTTATCAATCTTTGCATTTTGTGGCAATATTGTGCAGCCCTGACACCCACTTAATGTGCAAAGCTTCTGGTATCACGTCCACGACACGATAACCATTACGACCTTCTAATGAGGTCATAAAAAATTAACGATAGAAAAGGGTTTAATCAAACATTAATACCAGACAAGGTTCCAAAATTCCAAAAATAGAAAAAAAACTAGGTGTATGGAAAAACAAAAATAAAAAACTGTGGAAATTCAAAATTATATATATAAAAAAAATAATAATCCAGCATGCAGGGAGACATGAGAGATGTCATGAAACAGTGATTTGAGTGAGAGAAAAGGGGGAGGGGGCAGCTAGATAGAGTGAAAAAAGAAAACATGAGGAAGAGAGCTGCATCCTGATGCAAGCATGTGTAATATTAGGTGAGGCGGACTTTGGTGCATCACCCCTGCAGGCTCTCTCTTTAATCTAACTAAACCACTCCTCCTCCTACCCTGCAACACAGCTCAGTCAGGCAAGTGTGTGTCAGTGCCACATGATGTGTAGTCAGTCAGTTTGATACAGAATCAAACTACAAAATAAAAGGTACTAACTAACCAATTCCTTTTTTTTTTTAACATGGTCAATGAAAATATGTTTCAAGTCATCAAGGGATAGACATGTGACTAATTGAGAGACATAAATAAAACTTTAGGTGACTATTAGAAAATATTTCTATGTATATATTCATGTAGTGTGAGATCCACACTACATGAATATTTACATAGAAATATTCATGTAGTTGGGGGGGATAAAAATAAGCAACCCTTCCAAACAACCCTTGTTTGACCTATGCAATTATTAGTTTTGCATGAGTAAAACAGATACATAAATAAACACAAACAAATAAAAATCACTGACTTTTGTTTGTCTCTCTGGCTAAATCTGCAGTGTTTATGAGCCCAGGTGACGCAGGGGCCTAAAAATCAGCTAATCAACAAATTAAACTTTAAATTCAGTTGTACATTATTTTAAAATTAAAATTTTAAAATAATATACAACTAAAATCTGTGCTTATTTGTTTATATAAAAGTGGAACACTTAACTTTCTGTATGAGAAATACGTCAAAAAAACGGAAGTGGTAACACCGTAAGAATCTGTATAAGCTATCTAGTGAGTAACAAGAAGACAAACTGTCCATCACATAAAATAAACATAGTTTTATCTGAATTTATTTGCGGCAAAACACCTTTTACTTCTGCTCCTGCTATGCATACAGCTTAAAATTTAACCTATAATTTTAGCTAAGCTAACTTCCACCAAACTGACACTCAATCCAAACAAGGTCCTTCAACATTCAGCATCAGCCAACGTACCCAATGAGCTACTTTAAAATGCTGCAGTACAATTATGTGATTTTTCATATGTGCATAGTGGCATATTCTTCACACTGATACCTTCTGGGTTTTCTTTGATTACTTATTATTTGGATTAGTGATCTGAGAATACCAGGCACTAATATCTCTTATTCCAGAAGTGGTGCAGTGCAGCTTTTAGAGCAGAACATGGGTCTTTGCCTGGTAACAGTTACTAAAACTGACACTGAAGGAAACTAAAACCAGCTATTACCAGCTTTAAACAAACATCACTCTTTAATAGATTTATTCACACAAATCATAGCAAGACACTAGTATTCAAATACATGAAAACAAATGAACTTCTAAACTATGTTGGGTAATGCGATATCCTACATTAACACAGAAGTTATTGCACCTAGCACAGATAAGACTCTATTAAAAACCCAGCCGCTAAGCTGCAGTGGTTAAATGCACTCAGGGGAAAACACGGCAAACCAACGCAGTAGGCAGATGTGTCATTTCAGGGATAACAGATTTGAACAAAAAGCATCAGGCTAAGCAAGCCACAGACAAAACAGACTTGGATAATAAAGTTAGTATGACGTTAACAATTCTACTTTAACAATTCCTTTCAGTCTTGCACTTTTGCGGCCAAACTAAAGATGACTACATATACTACCATATCACCACACATACCACCATATTCCGCAACTTCTACTTTTACTGCGCTATTATGTCAACATATTTGAAAAGATTACGCTTCAATTCACACACACTATCACTTTCACATCTGCTTCAGTGTTACGGACTGTCACAAAATTACCAGAAGAAAAAGTGTGTTAATGTTTTGGGGTAATAAAAAGGACAACACAAAAAGGCCCAGTTTAACTGTTTACCACAGTTATTTTCCACATGATTACTTGAATAAAAGGGATCTGTTACTGATTCCAGAGTTTAGACAGAAGAACACTTCGGGCTTGGTGTACAGATCCCACTACGTTACCTTTGTTTTGTCCAATAAAATCATGTAAAATCATGTGTAAATAGGCCTTAACAGTCCAGCCCCACCCTCGATCAGTATTGGCTATCAGCCCCAAAAACACTCAACGGCCCATCTCTGCTGAAAGTTGTTTAGCAGGTAAATGCCAAGTGCATCTGCAGGTATGGCCTGGATTAGCACAAGACTAAATGCAACTAAATAATAACACAACTGAATTTTACATCCTTTTTCACTTTGTTGTTAAACTCCAAGCCAGTGACAAGTCAATGTGGTCATGTGTTAGCCCGTGTATTATAGGCAAATAAACTGGATTGCCAAGTGTAATTTTGATTGCAAGTATGCAATAGATATACTTTTATTCCTACTCTTTCATAGTTTACTTTGTCTATTTTTCTATTTCTGCCTAATTTATGTATGTTTATTCCTATTTTATTTCTGCCTAATACATGTAACTTTATACAGCTTAGCAGAAACTGTACCAAGTACTATATTTTTGGATGCCCACTGCTAATCATTGTTCCCCTTCGTACACCACCTCCACCCCTTCCTACAACAAAAATAACTTGATAAATCAGATGTTCAATTCACTGAAACTTACAGTTTGAAAGAACCTGTTATGGAAACTGAACTGAATTTCATCACTATTTGCACTCTTTTCAAGCTTGATGGCTAGCTACCTACATTAGAAATTTAGACAACCTCAGACCTACAAGTTAGGTTTCTAGTGGCTTTCTAAACACTTGTAAACATGTCTGGAACCTGTAGTCACTGCATTTTCAAGCTTAGCCAGTGGCCACCATGGTGTTTTAAAAGAACAGAAACTGCCTTACAAAACTTAAGCGAAACAAGCATCACTCTGGTCCAGCACAGCAGCATGATCCCTATAGCAATAACTTAGAATCCAAATAATCAAATATCTGCAATGGGAGCAGCTTTAAAACCAACAGGACAAATGAGACAAAGATTTATTTCTATGATCATTTAGAACACTGAATGATCAAGCTAGAACATACGGGTAACTAAATATAACCTAGACCCACATCCATTCCCACACTCATATAGAGGGATTATGGCACATTAATGTGGCTCATTTATCAAATCCAGGCAAGTAAGTTTGAATTTTAGCAAACTCAAACTTTCTACTATGTGACATACAGGCACTATCCAGATCAAAAACTTTGTGCAGGAACAGAAAACACTGAAGCATTTGTAGGTATATGTAAACTGATGAAGGTCTGCTGTGATTAAGTGGGCTTAAACAGCAAAGGAGTTTGATTCATTACTTTTTGGCACATTTATAAGCCAGACTCAGTGGCTTTGGCATCTGAGCAGAGGTTCAACAAGTACAGATTTTCAGTATTGCAGCTGAAAATAAGCACATGCCATTTCATAATCAGATCTCTTACAATTGGGCTTTGCAGATATTTTAATCCATAAATAAGTCCCTTCTTAGCACATTTGTGAAACTAACTGCATCTGTCATTGCTCTACAATTTTTTTCAACTATTCTCTGACATCACCTGTTTAAAACTCCAATCTAGGCAAAACACTTAACTGCCTGGGGTGGGGGGGGTGGGGGGGGGGGCTTGCATACTGAAAATAGTTAACCAGCAAATTATTAGTGACAATCACCATCAGCTACAAAAACACTGCGATAACTGAAGGGCATTTATCATCTTTCTGTTGCATCTTTTTTCCTTTCTGCAGCATCTTTTTTCCTTTCTGCAGACCATGCGACTGGCGTGATCTCCCAAAAGAGCAGAGATTATCAACAGCACAAGGACAGATGGTCTGAACACAGGAGGGGTTGCCACAGTACCAGACAGGGATTGGTTTCCCAAAAGCATCACAGCAAAGATGTATGCAAAATGGTGGCATTGCTATAACTCTGATAACCCCAACAATAGGAGCGTGAAAAATGTTTTGATGCATTACGATCCACCCATCTGAAAGTGGTGATTTAACTGCATTGGTTGTGGGATGTTAGAATAGTTTATAAGACAGTACAATAGTATACCAGAAAACATTTCTGTGGCTAAAACAGCAGTAGTGCTACTTCCAAACTTCAGCATTAAAAAAAAACAAACAAAAAAAACAAAAAGATATAACTTTAAAAGTGATTGCCACTTCTAATACGAAAACAAAATCAACGCAGAGCTGTCAGCCTAGGACTCAAAATAAAATAAACACTAAAACTGAAATGTTGAATAATAAGCAAGTATATAATAAAAACAGGAATTTCTAGAAATAAAAAACAAGGATATGGAATGAACTGACAATAACTACTGATGCTTAACATTTTCTAGCAATGAACGACTGCCTACCAGACCATAAAAGTCAACGTCATATCCTTACAGCTAAAGGTTCCACACTTAGCCTAAGAACTCTACTCAGTTACAATTTCTCAAGCCTCTCAATCTCTTTTAAAAAGACTAAAGTAAGAGATAAAAATTCAATTGTTTGTCTCTAGTTTTGGACTGTTGAACAACACTCGTGAGAACAATGTGAGAAATCTGAGTGCATCCTCAGTCAGTAATGCACATAAGGAAACAAGACTACTTAGGAAGTTGAAAACACAGAGATAAGCTAACTGGTGTAATTTAGATACAAATCACCAGTGGCAATAAACTTAAACACTATAAATTGATACAAACTGGTATCAAATCATGAATTGATACAAACTGATACAAGTTTGCATTAAACACTGAAACAAGTGCCAAGTTATCAACACTGAACGAGATCTACACTTGCCTACCCCAGTTATTTCAGACACAATGGAACATGAACTTGGCTATGTATTCAATAAGCCAACTAAAAAAATTATGAATATATCACTAAATAGAGTTTAAAAATTCATGTCTTGAACTTCCATATCATTGCTACTGTGATGGTAACAGAAATTATGTCATACTCATTTGTCCACATATCTGACAGCATACATCAACACTCCTGAATGCTTTAATCCTTGGCCTCGTTGGGAGATTTACTGCAAAAAGGGCCGTAGAAATGTGCAAAAACTAACAAAATCAAAGGCTGGGAATGTACAGATTTAAAAAATGAAATTATCTAACAATCTAAAGAGTTCATTACTGTGTTTTCCGTTAGAATTCACCCCATTAAATCAGGGCTGCCTGTGACCTTTTCAGTGAAATGCAGAGCAGCTGGCCAATGCCACTGTGGGGTCCTGAGGGTTACATAGATAAACGTAAATGTAGTATAGTGAATGTTGTGTTGTTCATTTTTGGGTAGGTATACATTTGGGAGGGATTTCTGTCCTTGAGAAAAAAAAATGCATACTAGATTTTGCATGTAACAAATGAACAGGACATGACAGTGGAGTGGAAACCTGTGAAACCACAGCTGTTGTGCGCCTCTAAACTGCAACTTGTTAATTAAAATGCAGTGATCGTATTTTAATATGCCCACAATAATGCTGTGTGTGTTGAATATTGCAGTTTAGCTTCTTATCTAACATTGGCACATGTCTATATAACAGTAAAATGATTTGGGACTACCGACCAAGACGCTGAGTTGCCAGGGCTGCCTGGCAAGGACCTATTCTTAAATATAAAAATAAAAATAAATAAATAAATAAATAAATAAAACACCACTTACATCTGCCATTAACATTACAGACACGGGCCTTGAGGAAAACAACTTGTTTTTCATTTAGTTTGATCACACAGCATTACAGCAACTATTTATTTTTTTATAATTGTATACTTTCTCAGTCCCAATACATATTCTTAGGGAATGACAAATACAATCAGGATATGACAAAAGTTTAGAGCCCATCAAAACTATTATTAGTACTATTATTTCATTCCACATCTATCAAAAACACTGCAGAGACGAGAAAAGAAAAGAAAAAACAAAAAAAACAACAAAAAAGACAACCCCTGTATCGTTGGCAGCATTAGCCTTAGCACAATAAGCAGAATTTTAGTGAACTGAGTCTGTAAAACAAGTTAAGAAACTGTTAAAGTGGCACTGGTTTGCAATGATAATATGCAGAACCTCAGTTTGTCTCAGTTTACACAAACAGCAAGTTAGACAAATTATCTATCACAGCCAAGTAAGCGTCAGCAGTTAGAAAGAAACAACTGATATGTGGAGGTACTTACTGTGTCTGATCTGTTGGGATTTGAGTGAGAGTTGGAGCTATGCAGAGAACTGTGGTTGTGAGAATTCTCCTGAGGGGAAATACTGGTCCCTGAAATAAAAAGAAGAAAAAAAAAATATATGTAAACTATTAACTGGAGGTCCAAACTATTTTGCCTGAATCCTGCCTAAAATCTTTTTTGGCAAAACTATTTGATTTAATTTCATACAAAATGGATAAACTACACAAAAAGGAACAAGTAATTTAAAAGTCTCAGTCTTTTCATGCCAGTGGCAGCTAAAAGTACTTTACAGACAGGTGATAAAGTTTAACAGTAAAACAAGAAAGACAATGACACAGATCAAATTAAAAAGATAAATACCAAGAGAGATAGAGTTTAATTAACTGGCAAGTTATAGAGAAGCAGAACAACCGAAAAAGGCCTCTCCACGTTTTCTGTATTTTTACGGACGGTATTTGCAGAAGGCCAATATCTGAAGATTTAAGATCACATGCTGGAACATAAACAGACAGACATTCTGTGATGTGAACGCGTGTTAGGTCGTTTAGAGACTTAAAAAATGGCAGCAGAACCTTAAAAATGTATCCAGTGCAGTTCTTTCAAAATTGGAGTGATACGATCTCTCTTTTTTGTTTTTGTTTGGATGTCTGCTGCCTCCCATCTACAATACAAACTTCTTATTGTCAGCTTTAGGGCTTTTCATGGTCAAGTACCCCCTTATTTAGTTCAGTTCCAACATCTTTACATCCCTCCTTGCACAGGTCATCTAGCACATGATTACTGGCTGTTCCTCAGGCTGACCTCCTGGGGAGTCAGGTTCTGTAGAACCCCAAACTGTAGAACTTTGTGACGGCTCATCCTTCGTTCAAAGCCAAATTAAAAACCTCTCTTCATCCAGTACTAGTCTCTACTTCGGCGTTGCTCATCTTTGTCCTTTGGTTTATACTAGGCATACATCGATACCATTTTTTTCAGGCTGAATACAAATACAAGTACTTGCCAATACCAGTTATGATACCATACTGAGTAACTTACATGCATTTAAGTATTAGCTAGTGTAAATGAGTACAACACACATTCAAATGAAATCATTAAAATCAAGAAAATAGGAATAGCTAGAAACTGATACACAGAGTTTCATACTTGTTTTATCAACTGTTTATAGACTTCAATAATTCACTAGAAATATAGAATAATTGTAGTATATTGTACAATAACATATAATTATAGTTTTAATGGACTATAATTTTGTACTCCGTTACACATTCATCTCACTCTTCAGTTTTGTTCTCAAACTGTATCTAATAGCACTGCAAAAGACAGATTTATAAAATAAACATAGATACTCAACTGTAACAAAAATCTACTGACTAACATGTTTTTCCTCAGGCTGTTCTGGCTACTGCGCTTGCGCAGATGTTGACAACAATGGGGGGGGCTTTCCCCACTCGCAGCGTAACCAGCAAGCTGTTTGGCTCTTTTTAATGAAGGGTAGGACTTTCTCCACAAACAGATCAAAAAAGGCCATGTTGAGCGTTACGAGCTCTTCCATTCACATTTCAACCAGTGACCTGTCTCTGTCTCTGATGTCACACAGCGCTGTATGTAAAAACTGAGCAAGTAACACTGGTGCTAAAAAAGCTGCAAGTGCTGTAGAACAAATGACATTTCTTTAGCACTTCAAACTACAAAAACTGCTTCTAAAAATTAGACATCAGTAAGCGGAATAGATTTAACAAAGCAGCTAGCCATCTATTACCTAATGTCATCCATCCATCTGCACTAACGCGTATAATGCTGTGAGAATTCTCCAGCACTGTGATGAAAAGAAGCAAAAAGAACATGTCTTAAGCACCTGGTCAATGGACGACGGTAAGCAGCAGCTCATCAAAACCTATGATGCAGCACAAGTTGATCAATAGGGCTGCAACAAATTACATTTTTCATAGTTGAATAATCTATAGATTATTGAAACAAATCGATTATTCAGATTATGAATCACTCAATTACCAAATAACTTTCGAAGCTATCAGCTTTTAAATTTGGCTTGAGGTTGTTTTATGCACTTACTAACAATGAAGACAAAGATGAATACCTTATTGAAATAATCCCTGTTTTAATGAATTTTAGCAGCAATAAAATATAACAAAACTAAACCAGTATTCCCTTAGTCACACCAACATCTCTGTGCTTCACCGACCATATGGCCATATCTATGCATAATTACACAAACATGAGAGTGGATCGCTGCGTTCCCTCCATTATGTAACTCATAATTCCGCTTTCTGAGTGCAATATTCTTGAAAAAGTATCATTTTGGACAGTATCTTTCTTAAACTGCGGCTCTGTAACGGTACTGAGCGCACTCCAGCAGTGATTTTGATCGCCCCAAAATAGCGGCGTCGCTGACAGACCTGGCTGAACCCAACGTGGCATCTATGTAATCTATAAGCAACACTATCTCCAGCCATAAACGTAAGTAACGTTCAAATTTGGCAAGCAGTGGCAAATGTTTGTGGCAAACTTGTTCTCTATGAACAAGTAAATTTGAATGATTTTGTGTAAAAATTCCATTTCAACAGTAACCCATCATCCAGATGCCCTGCATGTTGGCGGAGAACTACCTCAAATTTTGGCTGAATTTGAACGCACCAGTGGCCTTGATGTTAGGACAACGCAATATTTATAAATTTGTAAACATAATTTGGAAAGTCAGCAGGGTCGTTGTGAACAATAGTTACTTGCTTCTCCATTAACGATACCAAAGAACATGCATTTCAAAATAGAAAATGTTGCGGGAAGACTTAACATAAACATTAGCTTTCTAACTCGCTAGCACAACTATCTTACCGAGATGAATCTTCTTCATCCACTGAGCCGATGTGTTTCCTCTTCAGATGCTCCAACATGGAGGAGGATGCGCTCTCGTGCCAGCTAAGGTCGGCTTTACAAATAGCACAACTGACAACCTTGAGTTAAGCATAAAAAAAAAAATCTCCCACACTTTCTGCTCGAGGCTGCCATTGCGCTTTTGTTAACTCTCCAGTAAGCGGTAATGCCAAAACATTCCTAGTTAGCGTGAGAAATGCGTGTGATGACATCACCAACTAATCGACTATTAAATAAGTTGCCAACTAATTTGGTCGTCGATTTTAGTTGACTAAGTCGATTAATCGTTGTACCCCTATTGATCAATCTGGAATATTACTCAATAGCTAGACGCAACGAAAAAGCAGTCAGTTTTGCCTCAAAATAAACATTTATGACCGGCCAGATCCAAAGGCAGTAGTGTTGCCCAATCTAAATCTCTGGTCTTCTCCAGACTTGCAGATACATGAATTTAAGGGTGCATGTTACTAAGAAAGTCCACAGGACCGTAGGGCTGTCTGCTTCTGCTATTTACCTAAGGCATGAGGGAAATAATGCAGACTTTCTGTGAACTTCCAGAAAGGCCTCAAGATACAGGCATCAGCAGATTTTGCTAGTGCAGTTACCCAAAATTCATGTGATGACAAACAAAATGGCAACAGTTCCAAAACACAACTGAAAAAACAAACTTCCAGGTTCCCTCCAAAGTAAGTAATACATAATTAATTTCAGGATTTTTGTGTCAATATCAATATGGAATTGGGTTGAGCTGAAGTGCCCTCTCATTAGCGTTTTCTATATGCTTGAAGCCCTGCGGCCTCATATCTGACATGATGTCGTCGAGCACTTCAGTGAAAGTCACACCACATAGGTCCAAACTCAGAGACTGAAGACCAGAGATTTTGACTGGGCATGTGACTTCAATGCAAATCATGAAGGCTATTTGTTATCGAGGTATTTAGGGCAACTCTACATTAACACTTCTTTTGACTTTACTCTACAAGGAATCAAAGCACAGAGAATGACCAAAGCAGGCGTGCCCTCAGCTCCTGAGGCCACCTGGCCATCATATATTTTGATCAAGTAGGCAATCTCTCATTGGCTTCTGCAAACAACCCTAAAAATTCAAATGTATGCAAGGAAAAATGCAATTTGCAATATACTAATAACAAACCATGTCACCAATGCACCTACAACATTAAAATGAAAAGGACATCGGTCATATATATGACTACAGGTGGCTTCACTGGTAACTGGAACAGCCTAGGATACAACACACCTAATCACAAAGAACAAACTATGAGTTACCTGTAGTCATCACAGCATGTAAACATTAAGCCTGCACATAATGAAACACTAACGTTGCAGATATTAGCCGCAACACATCAAATAAATTATGAGCCATCACATTCTTTAAGTTATCCCTGTGAAGTGCACCTCAAGACAGAAGAAACCAGATATCCAAACACAGTGAAGCAGAGGCATACTAAAAGAGGCAAGAGATTTACTTTGTGTTAAGTTATATCTCCACCTCCATACTGTGCTCATGCACATAAGGATGTAACAACAAGGCATCAATAAAAGGACCCTACCTACAAGTTGTGTAGTTAACTGTTTTTTGTTACTGAGTACAGTACACACAGAGGTGGGTGCCTGGGAAGCTAACCTGAATGTCCAAAACATTTCTCTGACAGAATTTCCTGTACAACTATACTTAAACACAACCCGAGTAGCACATGATAACCACCAAAATACCTCTGATCAGCCATCACAATACAATGAGGACAAACCAGCTGATACTGCTGTAACCTGTGCATGTTGTCTTTGGAATGTTAAAGCACTGTAACAAACCTACACTTCTCTAAGGCATAACTTCAAAAAACTTCGGTGAGTGAGGCCTCTTTTCCATTGTAGAGCCAAATGTTTCGCTAAGCCCATATCACGCTGGTCTGTGTCGATGCAGACCCGTGAAACCGATCTCCATCTGCTGTGCTGGGAACTCAGGACCAAAAAATATAAAAGAATAACTATGCTTGACAGTGGTTCAGCAGCAATTAACAGGCTTACAGCTCACTCTTAGATATGAATCTTAATCCTCTAAATTTGAGTCATTTAAGCATTAGTTAGCCGAATCAGAATCTGTACTGTAACCTGCAGCATTTTTAGCCTGCTAAATAAACTAATGTTAGCTTAGCTAACAGGCTACATCTCTGAACACCACTAACAGGTTCAATTGAGTCTTCCTGTCACTTCAAACACCATTCACGCAACTTTGCTCTCTCAAACATATGTTTTTATCATCTACACCTGTGTCAGCAGAGCACCAGTTGGTCAAACTCAAACTTGCAATGTGGTGTGTGACACTGCTAACAGACTAAGCTATGCAGATCCAAACACCATCGCTTTCTGTCCCTAAAACATCACCGCTCGATTTTGGCTCCTGAGATTTGAGCAATTATCATTTAAACTTGTGTCAGTGTAGCTTCAGTTAGCCGTTAGGCGAGTAGAGCTTTTAGCATACTAGCTTTAGCGTGCTGGCTAAGTTAATGCTCACCAGCTCCTCTCTCCTAGTTGGCAGCACCTTTAGCAGCAGTTGTGATGTTAACGTTGATGCATTAAAAATAATGTACTGCATTCATTTATTTGGTAACTGTGTAAGTGAACTAAACATTATGTGATTGTTATTGGTTTTGAAATAACACAGGACAAGGCATCAAAAAGCAAGGTAAATGTAGAAGCAATCAGAATAACTATGCTGTGAAGCCATCCACCAAACAGTTCCGCAGCTCTGAGCACGGTTAGCTGACCATGCCAAGGATGCTAAACACAGTTTTTAGGCATTCTGGGCCAAACTGTGTCCGTGTGGAAATGCCACGGTTACTCTCTGTGCTTGGAATCACTCGGCCCTACGGTGAAAGACTGGCCTGAATTTCATAAGAATTCTCTATTTCTTAACTAAGGCCAATCTGCACCAAAAACCTCTAAAAGTAGAAATGTTGTATCAAACACAACTACTGACGCAAAAAAACTAGGTGATGAGTACCATAGTTAGTATCCACGAGCCCAACATCTATGACTTATTAAAAAGAAAAAAAAGCATAACTTAGATTCCAGTTTTAAATTTGGAAGCTCAATGTGGACAGAGTGGTACAAAGTCCACAATCACAACGCAAAAAAATAAACATCCACCTAAACCACACTGACCTCTATCTGGCTAATCTGTCCAAATTTATGAGTGCACTGTCTGCTGGTTCATCTATATGAATGAACTAACTAAAAAGATTTCCATACATTCAGTAAATTAGGAAGCCCATTCAAAGATAGTTCACATGTGCAAGCTATTGAACAAAAAATGCTTTTTCAGATCTTCTTTTCAAAATAGATGGCTCTTCCATATTATCAGTTACAATAATGGAAAACACTAAAGAAGATTTTAGGATATCAAATCAAACACTGTATCTTTCTGCACTTCCCATAGTGCAGTCAGGGTGGCAGATGATCACGCTTTAACATGTAAACATTCAGTACAAGTCACTACTTGCATGTTCTCCACAACGTTAGCATAACACTAGCAAAAAAACAATGTGTGATACGATTTGGGAACACCAAAAGACAAGGTAATGTAAAGTCTGGCCAAATGTAAATTGTGTGGGGCCAAACGAAATACACAAATGAGCTATAAGTCATGGCTCTCTGCTGTAAAGCAGGGCCGATCTGTAAATGGTGAAACTTGCTATCAGCACATAAATTATGATAATTTCTAAGACAGCTGAACGACTTCTAAGGCCACTGTTGCAGACAGTCATCCGGAGAAAACAGAAAATAAGTAACCCAAGAAATCTACTTCCAATAGACCCGAGTCAACCTTGCAGTGGAGATTTGTGCGATTTCAAAAACCAAAAAAATTTGTATTTCTAACAGACATAGATTATAAAATGCAAACAAGCTCAGTGATCGTACGTACAGAAACCTGTCATTAGATTCTTTACGTTCAGCTCTTACTTCTTTCACAAAGCAACAAATGTAGAACTGCTAACGTAGTGCAAATATAGGCACAGACAAATAGAAAAAGTTAAGAAAAACTGCCAGTATCTACAGTTCTAACACACTATTATACAGATAGCTGAACAAAATGGTTTATTACCTCTGAGTAATACAGAGGAAACAACTAGATTTAGGCTGTGTGCTGAGCCTGTTTGCAATCACCAGATCAGGACCAGACATTTGTGCTGTGTAATATATTTACGAATGTCTCAAGCAGACTCAAGACACTGGAGTGCTATAATACACAAATCTAAAGACAAAACAACAGACAACAAAACTTAACCTTTATGTATGTTAGCTGTTTAAACGCTCCTACCTTGGATGCACAGGTTGTTGCAAATTAAGATCTCTATCAATAAAGGTACACAGAGGTACTCTTAAAGTTAAGACTGTATAAGAGTAAAACTAAACCAGTAATTTCCACCATTCTTCATTTTTTCCAAAAACATTACTGAAAATTCTGCACGTTTGCTTCTGCTACTTCTGTTCTAAAAGAATGTCTTAGAAACTTGACAAACTTTGTTTCGCTTGTACTGTTTTGTTCCACTGACACCAAAGGGAACTGCTTATACAGCAAATGATTAGATATAGTTAATAAGGATTAGGTTGGATTCTATCTGCAAAAATGCAAAAAATAAAAAGGTCACTATTTCATGAGCATTATATCATGGATACAACTCAGTATGGATCAACTACATTGCCAAAAATCACCACAAAGTAATTTCACAGTAAGTCAATATTATAGTGTAAGAGTCCAGATGACATGTTTCCCAGCACTTGTGTTTATCACCTAGAGCTTGCACTAAATGATCCTCAGAGATTATTACAAGTGTGCAATTAGTGATTATGTTTAAGTAATTTATGCTCACAAAACTCTTCACTATAAAGACCTCACACTGACAAGTTTAGCTTTAACAGTTTATGATATGCTAAGCTGGATATCATCTCTTAGGGACTACAAACTTTAGACAATCAAATGAAGTTCACTTATTTTACAGAACCAATGGTTACATCTATACTGATATACACATAACAGACACTACCTACAGAAGATAACTATGTTAACATCATGAAGCATGTCTTCTTTCGGTACAAGGGCCCTGGTAATGCCGGGTACTGTAAGCCCCACTGGATAACGTGTGTAATATGAGGGCTGGGCTGCATGTCCTTACCACCATCTCGCTCTCTTGCCCGGTGGGGATGCAGGGCCTTGGCTCTGCCGTGACCACTGCTCTCTGTGTGCTTGTTGTCTGGACTGTCGGATCTCCGCAGGATTTTGCACGGCGGGGTCGCATCACTGCTGTCCCGCATCTTCTCATGCCGATGGTCGCCAGCGGGGTGACTCTTTGAAGAGTATTTAAGAGTCTGGAAGAAAAAAAACAAATACATACACCCCCTGATTTCAGCTTAAGTCTAGTAACGTTTAAATGGGGCAGAGACAATGACCTACAGCTAGACAGGCAGATAATATAGTATTCACACATTTCAAGTGACTCTGCGTTTTGTAAACAGGCTCACTAAAGGTTGTCAAGAAAAAGGCGAGTCGTGACTGCATTGGTACGTCAAGCAAAACTAAAACAACGCCTAATGTGTAATTTAAGTCACTTATTTATCGCTTAAATTATTGCTAAACTCGTTAATTAACCTGGGTAGGAGATACGAATGGTGTTCGTCGTCGGCCGGACTTATTTTGACACCTCGTCACCGACGGTGAGCTCTGGCCCGGTTGTTTAGCTAACGTTACAAACAACTCTCCAGCTAAATACTCTGATAACTAACTAACGTTTATGCTTTCCAATGACTGATTCTACCAATGGTTTAAGACCGACTAGTGTCAATTCATTAATATTTTAACAGCATCTTCACCGTCATCAGCACAATAAGGCAAAAAATTCAGCCCTCTTCTAGCAAGCTAGCTAGCTAATTTCGTAGCTAGTTGCTAGCAGGCTAACGTTAACGTTAGCTCATGAAAGTCGTTACATCGCTAACAAGCTAACGGTAAACTCGACGGTCAGGTGTCTTAGGTCTTAAATAAAGAGACTATATCGCGTAGCGGTCTCTGTGGTGTTGCTTTTCTGGGTAGAAATGGTGGCAGACAGGAGACTTTTCGGGCTGTTTTACGCTGGGGAGGCCTGGCCTGCTCCTGAAGCCTGAACCGGAGTGGCCCTTTTAATCTGATTTGTGTGAGCCTGCTCAGCGCTGAGCGTTAGCTTAGCTAACCTGGTAGGGCTGAGAGTCCCTTCGGTCGTTGCACCTACAAAAGAAACACAAAACAACAAGAAAAAGAGATTAGACATACGAAAAGTTGGGACACAATCGTAGTCAAACGACGGAACAACAGCTGAATCGGCTTCCTTAAGCTGGCCAAGTTTCTACTTATTTTGGTTTCACTAAAAATGGCGGAGTGTCAAAGCGGAGAAGGAAAAAGGAGGAAAAAAATCGTAGCGTAAAAAATAAAGCGCTGTTTACCCATCGCCGAGTCTCGGTTGTTTCCTTGCATACATTACCATCAATGCCGGGTTAGTGTGTGTGAAGTAGATGTGAAAGGTGGGTCGCTAATGTGTTTTTAGGCTATCGAAGACCCGATCTCATCTATTATTTCAACAGTTCTGGCTATTCGAGTCGCTCTTCGCCTCTGCTAGTCGGAAGAGCGCCCTCGCTCCATCTCCCACTCTCACACACACAGACCAAACTCTGCCCCTATCTACAGGAAAGTGAAGCTCAGGCTGCGCCGGGCCGCCTCCCCCTTACAGCAAACTGCGGGATATTCGTGGCTATCATCGGCTAAACCCGGCCACAATCGACCTCCCTCATTCTGCAGCCCCTGAAAGGAAAGGCGACTGCGCCTCTTTGTGGCCAGAACTCCTTCAGCCACATCCACCTCACCGTCCCTGCACACCACTCTTACACACAACACTCTGCTCTCTGCTCTCTTAGACGTTTTTCATGCCCGATATGCTGTAATCAGAATATTATATTACGAACAGTCAAGTGTGATGACACTGAGTTATAAGTAGATATAATGAGCATAAGACAGAGGAAAATATACAGCTATTTTATTATATGTAATCCAGAATTTACCAGAATATTAGACAGCTTTCTATCTAATGCAATAAGCACAACCCAAATGAATAATCGGCTAACAAATTCTGTAAAACGCAGTTTTAGACTGTCTTTACAAAAAAGATCCATAATAATTTTACAGGTATTTCTACAGGATTCCTATGAGACCTTTATAGTAAATTCTCTCAATTACCACAAATTACCACTGGATACTACACAAGCATTATATATTATTATAAGACAATCTACAGGAATATTAAAGGAGGCAACAATATTATACATTATTATAGTAGATTTATATATCACTATAGAGATATTATATTTACAGGAAGCATTACTACAGCTTCTTTTTGTTAGCGGTGTGTTGTTACCTCTGCTGCTGGCCAAATCTCAGTGCCAATATTGATTTTAATTCATTTTAGTTTATTTTGGCAGCACAACTGGCTTGAATATGAGACAGCCTTCAAAGCGTAGTGTAAGAGCAACGAGAGAGCTTAAAGCGAAGGCCCTTTAGGGGTAACCCTTAGGTTAAGCATTAACCCTACCATTGAATAAAATGCAGTGTGGTCAATAACAAAGGAAACCAAAACATCAGCACTTTTGTGTTCAATGCCCTGTTAATAGAGGACCAATGCACACTGGTTTGTCTCTCTTTACACTCACATTTTCTAGAATTTGATCAAACCATTATCTGAACTGGACTGCAATATGTTAATACTTAAACATAGTTTTTACTGTTGATTAATTCATGTATACATGTGGATAATCCACAAAAGAGTGTTATGCTCACAGATAGGTGCAAATACATTTCCCACTTTATTTGCATTAGTTATATTGTTCCACGTTTATGCAAGAAAATTAACTTTGTCCTAAGATCTTAAGATCTACCAAAACTGATTGTGTGTGAGCTATGGTGTTGATACTTTTAAAAAGGAAATAAGGAGCTATTCGCTGATCTAAAATAATCAGTACCTTACAAACATAAAGCAGAGGACATAGAGGTGAGTTATATCTAAACTCCTCAAAGAACCTGCAGATGAGTGAACTTAGACATGTAACAGAGTGTGACTGATTCCACTTCAATTTTTTTTTAAAGTAATGGACATCATGCAAGCCAAAAACAAGTGAAAATAGGCATTTAAAAGAAGTAAAATTTTAGAAGTAAAATTTTCTTTGTAAAAGCTGACATTGCAGGACCACTTGTGGTCCATATATAATAAAATTATACACAATACAGTGCAAAAGTCATATAATCTTTCATTTATTTAATATCCACTGAAAATGCCTATTACGTACAAGTTATTCATTTTTCAGCACCAGTAAAGGAGTAAAAAAAAAGGTTTAACAGAAAACTACATAGAAGCCTCAACAACTAAATATCTGACTCTTCAATATTTAGGGTGTACATCCTTAACTTTTATTACAGCTTCTATTCTTATCAGGAGATCTGCTTTTAGTTTTTTAAAGAAATTCACACTTTTTTCCATGTAGAACTGCATTTTCTGTTTCTCATGATTCAAGTACACAAACACATTCAGTGATGTTGAGGTCTGGACTCTGGGGTGGTCAGTTCACTGTTCACACCAGCAGCTTATTTGGACTGTTTTCTTTTCTCAGTAACAGCTTTTTGTCAGCTGCACAACCTTTCAGAGTGTTGTCTTCTCGCAGTGGAAGGATGGATAGAAACACCTGTGGACTTTTAAAGATCTGAAGCAAGAGTGGAGCTTGTTTTTCTTCTCTATCTCTCAACTATTTTAAGACTGTTTTAGATACTTAAGTACGCTTTAAGTACTGTTTACCTGATGGTGACTGCCTCCATGGTCAACAAGGTCTTGCACCATTAGGAGTCTCATTTCTGTACCACTTTTTATCTACATATAATTATACACAGTTTTTTTTTCCCATTTATGTTTCTTTGACTTTTCCCTTCCTTATGCAAGATTGTCTTACATTTAATGTTGTGACAGTGACCTCTGACTTTTAAACAGTACTGTAAAGTATGTTTGATGACTAGCCATGCTATTTATTAAGGTGATAAAACACATGTAACACATGCAAAATTTGTTTCAGTCAACCCCCACCCTTTGGAAGTTTCAGATATAAAAAAAAAACAAAAACAAAAGAAAGATCACACTATGAATCTTTAATGTTAGTGATAGTTCTTTATTTGGACTAGTACAATAAATACTTGAAAAATTACACAAAAACAAAATTATAGTAGAAAATATAAGAGCTAACAAAGAAATTTCCACGTAGTTCTTCTATGCGCTAAGCACAACATCCAAAAAGGCATTTGGTTCGTCATAGACTTAATCAGAAGTCTCAGATATCTCCAGAGCTGCCTTTCTTCTTCATTGTGACTGGAAGAGGGAAACCATCAGGGCTCATTCGTATGACAGCATTTCAGTCCAGTACCAAATAAAACCCTTCATTTTAACAACACGTGGTTAAAAAAAAACAAAAAAAAACAAAACAAGAAGAAGCTCACTAACATCTCTCATTGAGCGTAGGTAAACTCTGTGATACGTGGACCTGGCCACAAAAGAGAAAACATATTGCACTATAACTAACTCATCTACCAATGCTGGCACACTTTGCTGTAAAAAGATGCAGAACAGTTTGAAGAATTCCAAGGACACGATTAAGTGCTGAGCAATATGGAAGCAGAGACATTTCAGAAACATACATTTTGTAATAATAATTAGGTAAAGAAGGAATGTCTGTATTGTGTTTCACTAGAAGACAAATATATTACAACATGAAATTTCCAGTTATTTGCGTGCAGTTACACAGACAAGCACAGAAGCAGCATTCACTTCAAGGTGTTAAAACTTTGTAAGGTTCATCATTATTGTCTCAAATGTGGGGAAAACAGCATTCCACAAAGACGCCATGAGAGGACTTTGCTGGTTTTCAAGATAATCTTCCCTTTTAGTGAACATTTGGATGTAAAATAAGTTTTATTCTGTACTTAATCCTGTTACTCTTTAAGCAATTTCTGCCTGATCTTGGCTGTGGCACTGCTGAGAAAACCTCAGCGATTCCATAACTGTTGCAGCATTTTTCTAAGATAATAACACCAAAATTAAGACTACAGTAAACATGGGTAAAAAAATGTGTTAATACTGTAATTTTGGAACACCAGTAACTTTGGAAACATCTAATCATTGGTAAACTGCGATTTAACCAACATACACATGACTTGTGATCTGTTTGAATACTGTGGTTAGGCAGCGCAGGCCATCACTTTTGCTGTCTACATCAATATGCATATGCAAGTCAGGTTTATGTGGAAAGCCCGATTAAAAAGGGCTACACATACTTATTAGTAGACCTTCAATGTTAATTAGCATTAGCATAGGAGAGACTGCAGTACCTAGGCACTACTGAAGGTCATTGGCACTTTGCTAACTACTTATGATATTTCAACTACTGGAGTAAATTTCCTATGTGAAGATTCAGTAATTATTAATTTTGTTCATACAAAAAGAAAAAAGGAAAAGGAACAAATGAAAATAGAATGAGAAACTCAAGACTTGAACTTACTAAATAAAAACAGAAAGGAAAAAATGCATTTGTTAAACAGATTTTTGTCTCCAGCAGAAAAATTCCTTGTGCCACATTTTGGGATGAGTAAGGGAATGAATATGGAGAGTGGGAGAGGAGGAGACAGGATGTATTGTTGTGTTAGGGAACAGCCACTTTAGGCTTTCACTCATGCAGATTAAGAGTGAGCTACAGCTGACTGTGTTCTTGTGTCTTTTGACAGGAGAAGGTGAATAAGCGAGAATGGAAAAGAGAACAAGGGAAAAATTTGTGATTGTAATGAAGGGTTTGGGTTTAACCCTCTCTGGCACTAACGCGGGGCTCTGCCAGCGAGCTGTGGATGATGCCTGTGATGGACTCCACTCCTTCTCCCTCCAGGAAGGTACGATGGTCACCTTCAATCACATGGACTGAAACCTTTCCATCACACACCTGCACATAAAGCCAACACACATTTATGTGCCTTTATTATTCACAGTAATAACTCAGTGACAACAGTAGTTTTAAAAAACTAGTTGGATAATTTTAACCTGCACTGAACCAAACATCTCTGAATCATCAGGATGCCAGGATATCAGTATATATGTGTGAACATCCTCATGACACTGCATTGTACTACAAGAGTTTTCATTCAAACTACTGCAATGTTGCATTATGAATTTGTTATCATACACTAACCTCATGTAGTTTGTAGTCAGCTCCCAGACCATCTCCATAGTCACTACTGGCTTTGGCCCTCAGCAGGGTGATGTTGCCATGGTATTTGGTGGTGGGGACGTAGCGGTCAGCAGCCTTGAGCTTGTAGTAGAAGGTGGAGGCGGCAAAGTGGAGAGAGTCACGGTTGACATTCTTATGGCTGGAAGTGATCAGATCCACAGCCTGGTTTACTCGGGCCTCCAGATCTGTCAGAGGCAACAGTGTTTCCAAGAGCTGTACAGAAGAAGAGAGAAAGAGTGTGAGAGATGGTGTCACAATGTCGAGAGTTTTGACCAGTAATTTTATTTTAACGTTAGACTGTAATCTGCAATCTTTTCGCTTTATTGAACGTGAATGTTTAATGATGCAAAATAAACCACAAATACAATCAAATACAAAAGTGGGAGCTAAAATTCATCGGAAAGGTAATGGTTTGTTTTGGTACAGAAGTTAAAGTATCCCTCAGATATCTCTAACCCTAAGTGGACTCTGCAGAAAAGTGTTCAACGCCACCATGTGGCCATATTATAAAATTACCACTACAGATTTTATATGAGCATCTTTTTCTTAATATAAACAATGTTATGTGTAGAAATTTTCTAAAAAAGACCTAGCAATCATTTTTGAAAATAAATATTGCTCAAGTTTGTGACTAGTTGATGACTCATACCATATCAACCCTCTAAACTGCTAAAGAGGAAGGGCACCGTCATTATGTCCAAATGTATCTTGATACTTTTTTAAGTTAGTGAAGTCAACAACCTTAAGGCTCATTCATTGCTGACATAAGCATTCAATTATCTAAAAAGACTGGCAATAGAATGAGACACTTTAAAGCAAGCCCACAGGAACCTAAGGTCAGCATGACCCATGCCAAGCATTAGCTAGAGGGTTATAAAGCCTCTCAGTACTGGGCTGTGGAGCAGAGAAACTGTGCTCTATGAAGTGATGGAGCTCCATCCAGTATCTCTGTGATGAGTTGGAGTGGCGTTTGTGATCCAGAACTAATGATCAGTACCTCACTATGCATTTTGTATGCATTCAAATCATTATAGCAAACATGTTCCAAAACCTAGTGTAAAGCCTTCCCAGAACAGAAGGCTTCAGAACACACGGTGAATGAACAGATGTCTACAAACTTTTGGTCAAATAGTGTATCTGAAAGGCTTCTGAACTTCTAAAATTTTACTTTTTTTGTTTAGTGTGGAAAGTGACATTATTGAGTAAGTGTTATTTCGTAATATACTGTTCGGTAAAGACAGAGAAACCCTGATCCTGTATCATCTCCAAAGTTTTCTATAAACCTTTAAAAGGACAAAAAAAAGTCTAAATGGAAATTTCCTCCTGTGCTTACCTTGTTGTACTCAGTTCCGGTGAACTGCTGGATGAAAGCACATAGCGCTTCAGTCTCAGCCTCAGACTCGTTGCCTGGGGTCAGCTTGGCCCTGTAGCTCTATAAAAGACAAAGCAAATGAAGCTTAAGACAGGGACAATGCACTATGTTTTGTGTATGTATGGTTACACAAGAATGTTTTCTGAACTGTACAGAACAATGTAGGCTGTTCCCACCTGCGTGTAGGCTGCAACATAGGAATGGGAGCCATCGAAAAGGAAAAGGTATTCCACAGGGCACTGTGCCTCCTGCAACTGAGAGCACATCTCAAAAGCCACACAGGCACCAAAGGAGTAGCCAGCAATACGATATGGGCCCTCGGGCTGCACCTGTCTCACACAGTCCACATAATATGCTGCCAGGCTCTGTATACTGTCCAGTGGAGCAGCTACAAACACATAAAACACAAAAGGAAAAAAAGATATGAGTTCAAAGCCTTAACCACCAGTCACCTGAAAAACAAACATGAACAATAACTACAAATTACACTAGCTGTAAAAATGAAAAACTTAGTGCTAGGGTGACCATACTTTGTTTTTCAAAATAAGAGGATGCTGTGGTCAGGAGGGCAGCATGGAGCAGACTGTAGAAAGCAAATGTCAACGTGAAAGCAAAGCCAAATCCCTGACATTTTAGGCAGTTTAAAAACCCGGGCTGGACACATATTAGGCCCCAAAAATAGGATGTGTTGTCACCCTACTCAGTGCGCAGGCCATAAACTGACTTTTAAAAACAGTTTTCAATGTGCTTGAAAGGGTATATTCCTTCTGTTTTTTTGAAAGAAAGAAAAATGATACCAAATCCACTATTTCAGGGGACCCTAGCCTGGAGGGCCCGTGTCCAGTACAGTTTGGTGATTTCCATGCACAAATGCAGCTCAACTCAGCAGTTAGTTATCAGTTCTAGGATGAAAATCCCTAGCTGGACACCAGCCCTCTAGGAGTCTGTCTCATGAAGCAGGATTTGTGGCTTAGCCAGCTAACTTTAAGCTTAGCTTGCTCTAACCCTGGATTTTCTGTCTCACGATAATGGATCACTTTTTACCAGGATACAGCACCATGGCAACTTATGCTGCACGCCTAACATGCTCCAGGGCAGGATCAGTTTAGGATTTTAGACACAGCTCTTGGACCAATCGGGGCCAAGCTTCTGACCAATCAGGGACTTACGAAGGTGGACCCCTCGGGTGAACTTTTTTTCTCTTTGTGACGTTTGTGTCATCAGTTGTGTAAAAAAATATTGCTTTTTTTAGCAGAGGAAGCAAATCATACTACACAGATATTAAGAACATAAAGCAATTACTATACCAACAGGCACTAACACAAACAGAGCTGCTTTTTACTGTTATGATTGCTGTACTTTCTACACATTTACATGGATTTCTTTTTCTTTTTTTGAAAAGAAAAAAAAAAGCACTCGACTCCTCCTCATATTTCACATGACTGGCTGTTCATCATAAATGTCATGCTTTCATGTGCACGCATTAAATTAAAGCTTAAGCATCTAAACCTGGCTTAACAGAGAAATTTAACAATCTTTGTGAAACAAGTTAAGCAGCATTCCATTTGTTAGGTTTTATGAAGTCGAAACTTAATCAGGAACCTTGTCTCTGTTAAACCTGCTTTCTGAGACAAGTTCCAGGACCAGAACTGGACACTCCTGCTGCATATTTTGCTTGGATCACATAAGATCATGGAATAAGTGTAACCTGCTGCTTCTGCATCCACTCATACTGTTAATTTACAGGGACTTTTCTAATTTTCCATATAATTAAAATTTTGTTAGTTTTTAAAAGTCATTTGGAGTGGTTTGATGTGAAATAAGCTGTTCTTACAGAGATAGAATTGTTCACAGCAGTTTTGATGGGTACCAGCCATCTGAAGACTTCAATGCCTCTAAATTCTACCTCTCAAAAAGTTTATTTGCCTATATTGCCTGTTGTCCGAGATATTATTCTATGACAAAGTTTTGGCCGCAAATGTATTTTTAAACTCACGGTGAACAAGTGTAACATGCAGCTGTTATATGGCAAAATAGTAGAAAGAAGAAAATTTACTTTTTACATATTTACCGCTATTTTACCATTATTAACATTACATATAAAAACTTGGCACAAGCATTGCTATATTTGTGTGACAGACATTGCGACCCCTGGTTCCCATCAACACCACTGTAAAGAAAATCTCCAATGCTCCATTTCATATCAAAACACTCTGAATGACTTGGTTTAATTCTCAACATTCATTTATGCAGACATTTTGAGGAATCAACAGAATTCCAATTTAATATGCTCCTTGCCACAAATATGGGCTAAATGCCAGTTAGTTTAAGTGCTGTGTTGTCATTACCTTTGGTGCACTGCAGGCCGTAGCAAGGCACACTCAGTTTGGCGGTGAGGGTGCGGAAGGCAGCAATGGAACCCTCAATGGGGTGGATGAGGAACAGCGGCCTTTCTGCACTCTGGACCTCATTCAGACGTGTCACAGTGGGGCTGTCTGGGTTCACCAGCATCTGGCTGACATCTGACTCCAGCAGAGCCAGAGCCCCAGTGCGCTTTGCCTGTGCTGGCCTGGGTTCTGCAGAGGGTAGACATAAGCAAGAGATATTAGACTTACTCTCAATGTCACTCTTGGAAAGTCCATTTATAAACACACGCAGATGTGCAGACATGCTCACCCTCAGACCCTCCTGACTTGCTGGACAGCTCGCGCAGCTTGTTGATGGTGAGTTGCCGTATTTCTCTCATTGCCATCACAATGTCATAGTCCCTCTCCAGTGTCTGCCTCACTTCCACACCCATCAGCGAATCCAGACCCAGATCAGCCAATGAAGCATCAGCATTCAGGCTGTTCACATCACGCACACCTGAACAAAATGCACAGTGAAAGATTTTACTCTTTGTCTTTAAATACAGAATAAAATGCATAGCAGGCAGGTCAGGGTAAGATTTTAAAAGATTAGAAGATCATAAGTTTGGATTACACTATTTTCCATGTAGCAAAAAGTATTTACAAAACGACATTACAAAATATGAAGATGCTCCACATACAGTTCATATATGGAAACTAAGCTGCAAAAACCATCACTATTTACATATGTCTGTCTAGTCTGTTAACACTGAAGTTATAAGGAGTGTTTCAACCCGGACTGCTTTTTTAATGAGGCCCAATACAGTCAGAACAGAAGTCATTTACATATATTACATTTCAAAGAAACTGTAACAAAAGCAGCCTGTTTAATTCCAAGAGAAAAAGAAAAGTTGGAAAATGATTGTGTAAAAATGAATTGTGATATAAAATAAAAAAGATATTTTTGCTATATAAAAGCCTAAAAATGTCATAAGTGGACATAAGCGGGAATAAAAAATAAAATGTCAGAAAAATGTAGGATAGGGTGCTTTTAGACTATCATTGCTGTCAGCAAAGCAAAACCTGAAGTTCTCACCCAGGATGTGAGCCACTGCCTCCACCAGGTCCCTCTGTCCACTGCTTTCTCCCTTTGCCACCTGCACCCTCTCTGCCAGCACAAAGCTGGACATGACAGCCTGTTTCTGGCACAGGAAACGGTCCAGCACCTCTAGGCAGGATGCCATGCGCTGGGGCAAGGTCCCACCAATCACTGCATCATTCCCACCCATGGTTTCCAAGACAACACCCACATCACCAATGGCACCCCACTGGATGGCCAGGCCTGGCAGGTTGTCGTGGCGACGCTGCTCACACACCCGCTCCATGGTGGAATTGGCAAAGCCATAGTTGCTCTGACCAGCGTTGCCACGGCCACAGCTGACCGAGGAGAAAACCACAAAGTGCTGCAGCTCAGGACACTTCTGCCTCGTCACTCTGTGGAAGAAATCCAAATCATTACCCATTGAATTTAACAGCATAAACCTTTTAGCACTGACAGAAAACATGAGTATCAATTAGTGATTATAAAGTTTACCGATCCAAGTTTAGGGTTCCATCATATTTAGGCTGGTTGACCTCAACAAATTGCTGTGGTGTTAGATTCTCAAGCATGCCATCTTTCAACACCTACAGGAAAAAGGTGAAAATACAAACTTTTATCATCTTGTTCTCAGCAACTGAGTTCAACAAAACAGACATACAGACAGAGACACTTACCATGGCAAGGTGGAAGATGCCTCCCACAGGGCCCAAACGGTAAGCTTCAGTGATCAGACGCTCCGTCCCTTCCAGGCTGCTGACATCACTAGTTGACACTAAAACCTGGATGCCTGCAGCTTGCCATTCACGAACACGCTTAGCCTGGTAACCTGTTCCAAAAGACATTAACATTTTTATGGCCTGCTCATACTCAGATAGGAACCAAGGCAGATTCAAATGCTGGAAAAGCACTCAGACAGCTTTTCTACAAAGGACATATGTAGTCACTCTTGTATCTATGACATGGTAATTCCTAGTAGAAGAAAAAAAATTAAATGTATATTAATAGAAGATATTATAACAAGCAATTTTGGACTATTTCTAATGGTTCATTCATCATAAAACGCTGTCACAATGTTAAAGAAAGCTGTTTTTTTCTAATGACGTTAAAAAAGAAAGATACAAGGTATTGATATGACTAACAATATGAAGGATTTTACTGACTGTATCCTAAAACAGCAGCAAACCTTTTCAACCTGCTGAAGTCTTATCGTTCAAGACAGTTACCGTTGCGGATGCCAGAGCGAGAGGTGAGCACCAGCTTGCGAGCTCCTCTCTCAGTTAGCCAGTGAGCCAGCTCCAGCCCGAAGCCTCCCAGACCTCCTGTGATGATGTAGGAGTGTGAGGCAGGGTAGAAGGTGCGGCAGATAGCAGGCAGAGCGAGAGGAGTAGCTGTAGACTTGCCGCTTCCCTTTTCCTCTGAACGTACCTGAGGAAGAAAGACACAATGTGTGACACATGTGAAAGGAAAACAAAAAGGGCAAGGAAACCATCGTCATCCCAGCCCAAAGCAAAAGCATCTGCCTTTATAGTGCCACCTTACCTGCAGCAGGACCTTGCCGATGTGCTTGCCCTGAGCCATATAGCGGAAGGCGTCCTCCACCTGGTTTCTTTCAAACACTGTAGTGCGGAGCGGCTGCACCACGCCGTCAGCAATGCCCTTCTTTAGCAGCTCCGACACCTCCTCCCACTCGCGGTTACCCTCTTCAAACAGAGCATCCAGCAGAATTCCATGAAAGGCCACGTTTTTCAGGAACAGAGCCATGCCTGACACAGAGGCACAGAGCAGAGTTAGACAACTGAAGTTCATTGGCTACCACTTATTCAATGAAGAATATGATGATGTATGCTCTATGTTTTTTAAGCAGTGTAGAACTACTCCAAGTTATGTTGTATGTAAATATTTAGTTGCATTCAAGCACACATATGTAAATCCATAGTGTTAAGACTTATAAGAGAGTTACGGTACTGTTTTAAAACTGTTTATCTTGGCAGTAACTGTGTTTTTGCCAATTAAACTCTATATAACATATAATAAATACAAATAAACAACTAGACTTTGTTTGTTTTCAAAAACAGCTGATATTTTATGAGCTGGTTAAAAGAAGAGGTTCCAGATTTCCTTCAGCAGCACAACTGAGTAAACTTAATAAAGGACTGATTAGTCAAATTAGGCACTGATGATAATTACAAATAATAGGGGACAAATAGTAGAGGAGGTATGGGAAAGGTTAAGCAAACACTTTGACATACATAAAATCACTACTTATTGTATTAATGTTATCGGTAATTATTCTAATATTAGCATTTTTCTGGGCAAACACTTACTGTTCAATAAAATAGCTTTTTAAATATCAATTTCTCAGGTGCCTTTGACTGTTGCACGGTGCTGAATATTTGTGATTGACAGTTCTTCTCTACAATTTACTTCAGGATTAATAAAGTATGTTTGTACATATGTATGCATGTATGTATGAATCTATTTATGTGTCAACTATGGTACGATATGCAGTATTCCATTCTACCACTGGATGGCCCAGTGATGTGTTTTGCTGTATTCTCACCCAGAGGGGTGTTGTTTGACAGGTCATATTTGCCAATCTCCAAGAAGCGCCCGTGCCTGGCCAAACAACGTAAGCTGGCCTGCAGCTTCTCCTCAGCCAGGGAGTTCAGAACCACATCGACTCCTGAGCCCAGCAGAGAGAACAGTACAGATTATTCACACATTTTAATATTTAAATATGTTTCAGCAAAAATAGCTTATCTGGATTATCGTGTTTAAATAGCAGTCGAACCTTTGCCCCGTGTGTGCTTCAGCACATGTTGCTCAAAAGAGGCATCTCTTGAGTTAGCAAATGACTCCGCAGTGAGCTGTGGGAATCGCTCCTGCAGGTACGCCCTTTTCTCTTTGGAACCTGTATAACACCAGAAATGTCAAAAATGCATTACCAAACCTATTACTAGCAATTATGCAATCACTGCTAAAATAAATGCCCTAATAGGAATGTATTATCATTCTTCTTTTCATCAATCAGTTTTACCCTGACAAAGGAAATAATGGCAAGGACTACATGCAAGAATTAGTACAGATGTTTAAGTGTGGAGCTGTCACGCACCAACAGTAGTGAAGACTCTGCAGTGCATGCTGAGTGCAATGGCGATGGCAGCCTGGCCCACTCCTCCAGAGCCAGAGTGGATGAGCACACTCTCACCAGGCCTTAGGCGCCCACGGACCACCATGGAGTAATATGCCGTAGCATAGACAACAGGCACTGAAGCAGCCTGCTCCAGAGTCCTACACACACACACACACACAAACACACACACACACACACACACAAACACAAACACACACACACACACACATTTAGTGCTGCACCAAGCATCATGAAAGTAATTTTTAGGGAATGTGAAATACATCTAGGAATCAGTTTCCTGAACATGGTTTAAGCCCACTTCAGTAGTGGTTTACCACTGTAAAGCCATTTTAGTCTAGGATTAAGGATTAGTCCAGGAAATCATCTTCATACATTTTAATCATTTTTTACTGTGTGATATGTTTGAGTATTCTACCATGTATAGTAAGAAATGCTGTGATAAACATAACAATACGTTTTTTAAGTATTTAAGGAATTAAAGCTGGGCACAAAATATATATTTAAATGCTTCCTTAATTCAGGTTTTTTTGAAAGTCAAATGGTATGTCTTCTAAATTCACAAGAGAGTGCTCAGTGAGCTTTTGAAATATTTAAGCATCAACAGGACAGGACAAATGGGCTCTTTTTGGCAAGTTTCTAACTATCTTGATACCAACTCTGACACCTTGACTTTGATAGATTCCTCAATGATACTTTTTTCAATACCTTCCTCTGAATTACAAAGTGAATAAGGGTACAGCTTAAACCAGAAATGAGTGTGAACTGCAGGACGTGGGCATATTCACTGAGCACAGTAAACCATAGTATTTACTGATGTTTCTTAGCACTGCAGTGACACTGACACGATAGTGACATGTTAGTGGTTGTTGTGCTGGTACAAGTGGATCAGACAGTGCAATGTTGCTGGAATTTTAATCTCCACTACACAGTGTCCACTTGCTGTCCACTCTATTAGACACATCTACACATTGTTGGTCCACTTTGCAGATGTAAAGTTAGAAACGAGAGCTCATCTGCAAAGTTTGTGTTGTCCTTCATCAGTGGCCACAAGATGCTGTTGGTTGGATGTTTTTTGTTGTTAGCCTATTTTCAGTCCAGCAATGACACTGAAGTGCACTGCTGTGTCTGATCAACTCATACCAGTGTGACACACTAACATTCTGCTGCCACCACCATCAGTGTCTCTGCGGTCGTGAGAGTGATCTACCACCTACATAACACCTGCTCTGTGGTGATCCTGTTTGGGGCCTGACCACTGAAAAACAGGGTATAAGGAGACTAATAAAGTATGCAGAGTAACAGATTTTATCTATTTTATTTTATTACAGCAGTTTCCAGTAGTTTCTAAACTATATAATATCCCACTGCATGGTGCCTCTCACAGTAACAGTGGTTTCTCACCAGCTGGATGGGACATCCCAGAGGAACCGCTTGTCTGCATCCACACAGGTGGCAAGGCCTTTAGCAGGCAGCAAGCCCATGACCCGACGCCCACTGGGGTCCCGGCCTGAGAACTCCATTCCCAGCATGCACTGCTGCAGCGCTATGTCTCCTGCACACAGACATTGACAAACATACTTAGAACCCTGCAGTCTTTAAATGCTTTGTGCAAAAACAACAACACGGTAACATACATTTTGATGTAAAAAAGTACTGTAACTGACAGCTGTAGGAAGCATTGCATAGAACTACATGTTTGTGTGTGCAGATTCTGTTATAGCAATAGTTCCTATAAGTGTGAGGAAGACAAAGTAGCTACCAGGAATAGCGTCTGGTGGCAGTTTGCCAGTTGCCAGCATGATGTCTCGGAAGTTGAGGGAGGAATAATAGACACGGCAGAGCTGCACATTGGGGTTGGATGGAACAAAGTGCCGCAGTGGTGACGCAATCCAGCGCAGTGAGGAGAGATCCCCACGAGTCAGCACGTTAACGTAGGCCTGCTCGGTCAACTCCTCACTTAAATCTACAACACAGACAACAAGCAAAGCCAAACTGAGAAAAAGTCCACAGCAAAACTCTCATATGGGGTCAATCATATTTGTTGTCTTATCAGCTGTGTAAAGGGCACAATACTGAATATTGTGCTGATAAGAAGTGTTGTACTGAACCTTGTGGCAGCAGCTGGTGTCTGAACGCCCCCCACTGGCCATCCCGATACACGTTCATACAGAGGTCCTTTTGTAGCACTGGTTGCATGTCCTTATGGGTAAGCGAGAGGGAGGGGGCTTCAGATGACTTCTCCAGATTAGACACGAACACAGACCTAGTGAAAGAAGAGACAAAACCACAGATAACCATGAATCACTACGAAATTGTAATTATTTTAAACAAAAAAAAAGCAAAAAAAGAAATGGACATATTTAACACAAATCATCTACAGGCTTCAATCAAAACCTTAATGTGTTGTAATGGCCTATAGATTATCCCCTGTAATCAAACATGCTTTAATCTAAATTTAATTTCTTAGCAATTCTCTTAATTATGTTTCCGTTTTATGTTCCGGTAATTCTGAAATGTATTAATCATTACTATCTTTCTGTTTAAATTCCAATTTGTGGTGTTCCCATTTTAGTTTTTGGGGCATATTACATAAAAGAAATTATGAATGAATTTTCATATCAATTTCTACATTACATACATTCTAAATTTCTACTACTTGCTGTGGTAAATTACCCCACTGTTATATCCACTTCACACAAACTTGGCAACAGACTCAGGTGCTAAAATGTACTGCCACCATTCCATAACTGCAATGCAGTAAAGGGGCAACAAACTAACCGAATGCGGTGGCCCCCAGGTTCCTGTCTGAGGCAGTTGACCATTCCCACCACTCCATTATGGCCTTGAGAGGCAGTGAGCCACACTGGTTCCTCTGATGTTTCAGCCAGTATGCTCTGATGGAAGCAAGAGGAAGATTGAGCTGTTTAGCTAACTTAAGGTTAAAAGGACCATCTTTCAGAGTTCAGAAATTTAGAAACTTACTGGTCATTGCACGCAACTTGTTTGTATACTGTGCAAGAAGATTAACAAGTGCAACTTACCTTAAGAGTCTCTACCCATTTGTAATCGGTAGAGTCCACAGACACAGCGATGGGCTGTTTCTCAGGGCTTTGTCTACGGCCAAGGAAGAGAGCTGAGCCGTAGAAGGATTTCTTCATTACGACCACATTCAGGGAGGCCTTCTCAAACAGCTTCTCCCATTCCACCTGGACACACAGTCACAGCACACAGTTAACAAGAGAAGGAAATACAAAGCGTTGACTACTGAAAAAAACAAAATCTCCAAAATAGTGATTTTATAGTAGAAAGTAGACTGTGATTAATTTATTAATTTCTGTTGTCCCATTTGGCATACAATGTTCATAATGTTATTAATGAATAAATAAATAAATGAATGAATCAATCAATAAATGGAGATACAAAGTTTTGTTCAGACAGCGACGAAAGGGGAATAGAACCGAACCAAAGACTACATACATGTGATGCTTACTCACCTGAGTTAGGAGTCCATTCTGATTGTCCAAAGATGTGAGGAAAGCCACTGTCTCACCCAGTGTGTCTCCTCTCAGCAGAGTGTGCAGCAAGACAAAGCCCCCCTCTCTAGTAGCTGAGGCCAGGTTTTCCAGCAGTGTAGCTGGGCTTGTCACAGGTCCTGGCACAGAGTTACACACCACCAGGTCTGCACCAGTCAGGCCTCCTGAGGCAGGACCCTGCTGAGGGTCCCACTGAACAAATGAGATTCCTTGCTCCTCCAGGGAGCTCTGTTGGGCAGCAAACAGCTCTGTGCCGAGGTCAGATGCTGTGTAGTCCAGACGTAGCATTGGCTGAATGTTGAGGAGACTGACGGCACGGGAGAACACACGACCATCGCTGGAGAGAGCCTGAGGAATGAGGAGGACAGAATGAGCCTGGCTGCACATAGCAAGTAATAATTCTTGTGCTGCACTTTAGTCTTTGAGCAAAGCATATTGTGCACCCCTCAAGCTGAATGTCTTGGACCACCTCACCAGACAGTATCATTCACCATGGTCATTCTTGTGCGGTTCTTTGTATTATTTTCTCCTTACCCCATATCAAGTCAGTCAAGACATGTTAGATGTCCAAAGATTCTAAAGTTCTACACTGACAGACATGCCACATAGCTGAAATCTGTAATGGCAGCCCACCTTGAAGCCTGCATTTTGTCCAAACCTCTGTCCATTTTAACAGATGAAAACATCAAACAGTGTCAGAATCCATCTAGAAGACTTTTTGAGATTACTTAAAACCCAATGCAGTTGGTATGCAGTTTGTTAACAGTAGATAGTCACATTATTTTTGTCAGTCCAGTGCAAAACTAATGAATCAAACCTCAGACTAACATGTTTTTCCTGATCCTATATTTGGAATAAGAGGAAATCTGTGTAAAAGTGATTTTTCACCAAACCAATGCTTTAATGCAATCTTCTACTGTACCTCAATGACTTTAAGTTTTCCAGGAGTGGCATTCTCCAGGGCAGTGTCCAGGCAGTGGCGCAGAGCATGGGAGTCCAGCAGGCCGCTGAGGAGTGGGTCGTGCAGCAGGCACTCCCTCTCCTTCTGCACTGTCTGCTCCAGTTCCGAGCGCAGGTTACCATTGAGCTCCAGGCCACATAATACCGAGAGCAGCCGCAGCAGGCCACCCCCTGCCTCTGCATCAATCAACTGGTCCTCAGAGGCACCTTCCAGCCCCGGGATGGATATCTTCACTCCCTGACTGGCCAGCTTTCTCTGGAGACTTTTAACCAGACCTGGAGACGAGGCGATACATAGACAATGGTTAAGTCACTATGTTTATCATTAAAGGCATAACGACAATCCTGGCATGTCAAAATATATACACAACAGAACACTTTGAAAAAGTAGCTACATAACTGAATGATACCATACAATAACAATAATAATGTTTATAATGTGTGTGAGATTTATAGTTATCAATTCTTTCATTTGTAAATTATTGTGTGACAGAAAACTTACCTTTGCAATGTCTGAGTTGTTCTCCCAATTTATCACTTGATCTCAGGCACTCAGTCTCCACATAGGGCACAAAGACAAACTCCTCCAGAGTAGGCGGAGTCTGTTGCTGTTGGCGACGTGGTGCTACCGTGGCATGCAGACCACAGATCTGAACTCCGCCTGCTGTAATATTGTCCAGGCAGCGGTTGACATGGACATCAACAGCTAAAGAAAAAAAGAGGGGACAGATTTGATCTCTGATCTGCGCTTTATTTCTGTAACTATAATTTTCATACATTTCTACTTCAGCTCTAAGAGCAGTATAAGCTTATCTAAGACACATGAGGTACTGAAACATTTACCTTTCCTGTCTTCTGGATAGTCCTGAACCCGCTCCTCGTGTAGAGTGGGGTCCACATACACTGAGCGGATACGGGTAGGGAGGCGCAGGCTGCGACCAGACAAGCCCACTACAATCATCTGCAGCATGGTGTCCAGAAATGTCACCCAGTTACCTGTCCACTGCAGCTTCCCTTGATCACCTACAAAACAGTTAGACAGGATAACTCCTGAGCTTACAACCACTGAAACTAGACTCAAAAAACAGCCAGAGTTAAGCCAGAAACACGATTTGATTAGACACTGGTGTAAAGCTGTTTACCAGCATTGTTGGACTCCAAAATGCCCTGGAAGGTTTTGCCATAGTCATATCCACGCAGACGCAGCTCTTTGTAGATGTCTCCAGCTTTCAGGTGCAGTTTAGGGTCCTCCGCCTCCATGGTCACAGGCTCTGCCAGCTGAGAGCGGAAGGTGTCCAGTGCTGCATCCTCCAACACACTTACCTTACCTATAAGAGTAAGAAGGATTAGAAATGTACACTATGTAAATGTAGAACTATAACTGATATACATATATGCGTATATAAGAGAATTACAACTTACCACTGACTGCCAGGTTGCCATTCTCAGACACCTCAAAGCGGTTAGTGGCAGGCATGAGACGAACCTCCAACTGGACAGACCCTGTGATATGATATAGCAAAGATATCAGGTCAGGAGTCAAACATGGTTCACATAATTCTTCTTTTCTACTTTTATGCAAATTAAGTCCAATTTCTCATATAAAAGGTTAAACAGGAAGTCTACCTATTTTTCCAAATCTGCACACCGTCCCACCTTGTTTTTAAACTTTAAACCCAATTTGTCTCAGAATGGCCTATATATGTTAAATAAACTAGCCTAAACAGGTTGTACGTCATGCCAGCAAAACCACTCACCGGTCTTGGGCAGAATGGTGGCTCTATGGATGGTCACGTCCTCAAAGGTGACAGGGGTGTGTTCCATTACAGTGCCCAGTGTTCTCATTAGTGTTCTCCACGCCAGCACCAGGTAACCAGTGGCCGGGTACAGGACCCGCCCATCAATACAATGGCCAATCATGTAGTGGTCTGGGGATTCAGGGCTTGTGTCTGTACAGAGAACATTATAAATATATAAAAGATCAGTGTTATGCAAGCTGCTACTGACCAGTGCCTTAAAAAAGTATCTACTCACCGATGTTGTAAACAGTGGCTGAGGTGGAGCCTCCAGAGCCAGCTGGGAAGTCTTCCACCTTAGGCACGTCCCAACTCTGAGAGTGGTCCCACTGGATTAGAGGGGAGATGAGTGGAGTCCCCACTGGGACAGGGTACTCCACAGCTTGATAAAGCTGTTTACTGTCCACATTAATACTGGAACAGGACAACAAAAGGTTTATATCAAATGATAAGTGCAAGTTTTGAAAAATGATATTTTCTACATTCCATTAACTCACATCACAGATTTAATATAAGACATGGTTACCTATTCATGTAGATCTTTCCTATGTGCGAAAGGAAGAACTCCAGGTTGTTGGCATGCCCCCTCTTCATCAAGGGAAGAATAGAACAAGTGGGCTTGAGGCTGCGCTTCAGAATGGCCTGTAGGGGAACCAGATGATATGTAATAAGTACCTGTTAAACTGTCCTCTTGTTGCACTTAGACGTATGTAGGTGCCTCCCGGCCTCCTGTCTCTCTTCCTCACCTGCAGCAGGGCATGTGGTGCTATCTCCACCACCACAGCATTGTCAGGCACAAGGCTCAAGCCTTCCTGGAAGAGTACAGGGCTCACCAGATTGTTGACATGATACTCAGCTGAAGAGTAGAGGGCCAGTGGGTATTCCCAATCAGACTGAGGGATGGATGTACTGATCCAGCGTGCAGAACGAGGTCGTGGGTTTTTGATCACCTAAAAGGACAAGCACATTTCAAAAAAAAAAAAAAAGAATTATTAACTATTACCTGAAACTGAAAAGAGACAAAAAAATTTAACTTTTAGTTTTAGGAATATGAAAGATCCCCTGTGGAGTGCTGATGGAGAACATGCTGTTCATAGATTTCAGCTCCGCATTTAACACCATCATCCCCCAGCAGCTCATTCTCGAACTGGCTCATTCTCGAGGCTGGGGCTGAACACTTCACTGTGCAACTGGCTGTTAGACTTCCTGACTGGGAGACCACAGGTAGTTTGGGCCGGCAACAACACATCCTGCACCATCACACTGAACACGGGGGCCCCCCAAGGATGTGCACTGAGCCCCCTCCTATTCACTCTGATGTCCCACGACTGCACACCGTCGCACAGCTCCAAACTCTTCATCAAGTTCGCGGACGACACGACTGTGGTGGGTCTCATCAGCAACAACAATGAGACAAACTACAGGAGCGAGGTGAGCCACCTGGCCTTGTGGTGTAGACACAACAATCTCCATCTAAACATTGAGAAGACGTAGGAGATCGTTGTGGACTACAGGAGAATGTGCACCCAGCATGCTCCTCTGACCATCAACGGTGCTGCTGCCGAAAGGGTGAAAAGCACCAAGTTCCTGGGCGTGCATGTCACAGAAGACCTCTCCTGGGCGAAGAACATAGCATCACTGGCCAGAAGGGCTCATCAGCGCCTCTACTTCCTCCGCAAACTGAGAAGAGCCAGAGCCCCAGCCCCCATCATGTGCACCTTCTACAGAGGTACCATTGAGAGCATCCTGACCAGCTGCATCACCGTGTGGTATGGCGTCTGCACCTTGTTCTGCCGCAAGACACTCCAGCACATTGTGAGAGCAGCTGAGAAGATCGTTGGCACCTCCCTCCCCTCCCTCCAAGAGATATACAGCTCCCGTCTTACCCGAAAAGCCCTCTGCATGGCAGGTGATCCCACTCACCCACTACACAGCTTCTTCAGCCTGCTGCCATCAGGGAGGAGACTGCGGAGTCTCCGGGCCAGGACCAGCAGACTGGGTGACAGCTTCATCCACCAGGCTGTCAGGATACTCAACTCTCTACCTACTTTGCCACCTTCTATATATATATATATATATTAGTGTGATAGTGTTTAGTGTTTACACCATGGGCTACCTGAGAGTAATGCAATTTCAAGACTCTGTATGTCCTGTACATATTGCAGTACTGACAATAAAGCTGACTTGACTTGACTTGACTTGACTTGACTTAATATTTAGGACCCATTCTGCAACAGGTGAATATCAGAAATGACCATTAGGTGGCACTGTTGCGCTATATGGCAATTAAAGCCCAGGCTTACCCTCTGCAGTGCAGCAAGCAGTGAAGGAGCAATTGAAGCCATGTAATAGGAGTGGAATGCGACACCAGCACTGCGCACTTCTTTGGCAAATACGCCACTCTCCTTCAGCTGAGCCACAAATTTTCTCACTGCCTCCTACACACACACACACACAAAATAAAAATAAGTAAGCATAATTCCCTAGTAATCCACAGTCTGGTTAATTCAGTTAACACTTATTGGTCAAAGTTGACCAATAAAATGTAGAATAAGAAACAGGTAGGAAACTATACCTGCGGTCCAGAGATAGTGACCGTGTCTTCTGCATTGTGGCAGGCTGGGACAACTCCTTGTGGGCACTGAGCTTTACACTCCTCCCAGGTCAGACCTGAAAAACAGTCCACATTCAGGTTCATGTGCAAGCTCAAATTCAAGCTCAATACTAAAAGCCAACATAACATGAAACAGTACATTAGTGTTTCCCAATCCAGTCAACCCGTCCATCCATATAGTCAACAGTTTGCTCTCTCTCAGACCCAACACAGGTACCTGTAACAGGTGTGCTTTGAGCTGGGATTCAGCAAACTATTTAATGTCCTATTTAAGGTTCCTGGGGACTGGTTTGGGAAGTTAAATGGAATTTTGGTTCCCAAACTAATGATAAGGGTCTCTTACCCACTGCAGCCATGCCCCCAGCTGGTAGATTGGCTTCTTTGATGCACCTGCCCCTCCAGTAGGCAGCCAGGATGGCCTCACTGTGGCTGAGGGAGCCATCTGCATAGCCACAAGCCAATTCTCCCACAGAGTGGCCCACAATTCCATCCGGCTGGAGACCGATCTTCTGTAGCATATCTATTTGTGCAATCTGGAGAATAATACAGAAACATATAAATCATGTGACAAAAGTTGGTCTAATTAGCAGTCATTTGTGTTAAATAGGGCCCAGACAGCCACACAGACAGAATGGATTGCAAAATATAAATGATGATGAAATGATCCAATACAGAATCATTCACAGTTCAGATTTCAATAACAGTCATTGCAACACAATATGTTGCAATGCTAGGACTGTCAGGCGCAAGTCGGCTGATTTTAGTTGAGTAAAGAAACGATGGCCACAGTTCAGTAACTGCATGTACATGGCATGGGAAGACTCTGACCTGAATGGCTGCAAGGCCCACAAAGGCATGGACTGTGTCCTCAAAGGTGTTCTCATCAGCCTCCGTGAGCAGGCGTGACACGCATAACCCGGTGTCCTTCAGAGCCTCATCTGTACGAAGGATGGACTCTCTGAACTCCTGCAACTGCATCAGGCTACGGCCCATACCAGCCCACTGCGTGCCCATACCTGGACAAAGCACACAAGCATTCACTTCAGGTCAGCCGGCAATAGAAAAATAACAGCTGTGTCAGTTTGTTTATACCAGTGGTCCACGTGATATTTTACAACCGGCACCATCACAACATTGACCTTGACCCACACAGGCTTCTTATCAGTGATATTCTAACCTGCTAGTTTTATCTAACATCTTATATTGAGGTTTGTCTTGTCTGTTCCAAGTATTACCAAGAGAATAGGGTTTTTATGAGCCTTTGAAGCCATGTAATAGGAGTGCCTCAGTTCTGATATTGGGAATGAGCTGCAGGGCAAAATTAAACTTCACCATAGAGTATTTCCTAATGAAAGTTCTAAGATTATATATTTATAATTCAGTTTTCCATAAAATATTAACATTAGTTAATTAGATAAAAAAATTTAATTTGACTAAAATTAATTCATATATTTTTGACCACATTACATTCTTAATGAGCATATGTTTTGAGGGTTTGTCCTGAAGTCCAATGCTCCACTCACCAGAGCAGATGTACCAGAGCGGCCTGGGTGTGGGCTGGGCCTGCTGGATCTCCTTCACTTCCCCTTGAGCTCCCACCAGTGTGTAGCCCCTGAAGGGCATGCTTGCGGTGGGGACAGCTGACACATCATTCAGCAGTGTCAGAAAAGCTGGGTTCTGGCTGTTCTCTTGGGCTTTTTGTAGGAGATAGGCAGTGGCCTCCTCAGTGCGCCCGCATGCCTGCACCAGTCTGGGGATGGACGGTGGCGAAGCTGCCGGAGGTGGTTCGGGTCTGGCTGGGCGCAGGATCACATGGACATTTGAGCCTCCAAAGCCGAACGAGTTGATGCCCACAATGCCCCCACGGATGGGAAGAGGCTCAGAGACAACACGCACTCGCCCGTCTGTTAGTGCAGGAATGTCTGGGTTGGGATCGTTAAAGTGGATGTTGGGTGCCCACATGCCATGCTCAAGAGACAAGACCACCTGAGTACAAAGAGCAGGTGTTAGCTATGTTTTAAAAGGTGCAAAAGCAAGACGCTTCTGTAAAATAATTCTAATATTTCTTGTATAAAAAGGAATTTTAGATGTGCGCAGGGTGATGAACAGAGCTGACGGTGATTTTAAACAACTGAGACAGTTGTATAGCAATGAGAATGTAGTTGTAATGCAATATCTAGAATTCCTCATATTTCAAAGGTTCTTTTTGTTCCCAAAATACTTGAAATATTAAGTAAAACATTTAAAAAAAAAAAAAAAAATGTGAATGTCTAGTTTAAACTATTTAAATCCACACTGTATACTTTATACAGTGTAATTGTTGGGCCCTATCATACATTTTTCTAGCATTTTATCCTCCTGCTCGAGTTCTACTGTTAATGTGAGTGTGGTTTTACATATCAAAAATAACCATCATTTATTTTTGACTGAACATTTTCCAAACTCTCTTTAAGGCTTAGAATGTGTTTTCATGATATTACAAAACAACAAATTTAAAATGGACTATTTCTGCAGTTTAATTTCCATATATGGTCTGTGCTGACTGGGAGTGAACAGTATATTTTATATAGTATATTCTAGGTTTTAACAACGTTTACATACCACATTAAACTCTTATTCTAAAAAGCTTGAAAAAGCTGTTTTCTATGATATGGGCCCTTTAATATGACCAACTTTTGAACTGTGATGTTTGTTGTGAAATCCTTAATTGTGTGTTCAGACTCACTTTGGCAAGGGCAGCCAGCCCAGAAGCAGGCTCAGGATGGCCCATGTTGGATTTGGTGGAACCGATAAGCAATGGCTCCTGCCGTGACTGGCAGAACACACTGACAATGCCGTTCACTTCCTGTGGATCCCCAACCTAAAAAAAAAACAACACAGTCTAGCTTATAAGGCACTAACTTAAGGATGGGTGTCTGTATATATCTGTGAACATCTTTCTGACCTTGGTGCCAGTGCCATGGGCCTCAACGTACTCCACCTGCTCAGGTGAAATGTTGGCCTCTTCGTATAGGGAGCGGACCAAAAGCTGCTGCATGTCCCCTGAGGGAAACGTCACACCTGCACAAAAGAATACGGCACAGAAATTATCAAGTAATTCAGCTACATGCAATTCTTTTCATTCTTGAGACCTTGAAAGTTCTTATCCTGCACATCCCACAACATTTTAATCCCTCTCAGCATGTTAACAAAACAGGAATTTTAGTCATCGTCTTCCACTAACTGATGTTGTAGTGAACTGCTCTTTTTGTTTATATCACATGAGAAGTGTGTATCTATGGAAGGTGTTCTGACGCAACTACAGATAGGACCCCTGCCTGGTATGTCACCTGAGCCCCTGCAATGGAGGTCGCCCTGCAGAATATGCTGGCATACCAACCCCTCACCCATTTCAGCAGTATGTTTAGAAACACTGCCTGGGTGTAAAAGAATGCCAGCACTCACTGGGGCAAAGGGGATAGTGTAAAGTGCCCGGAGGAACCAGGTCACCTCTCTCTATTACAGTAATATGCTTTGGCCTCAGACGATTTGCCCTGAGAGAAAGTTAGTGAAATAGTTTGGCAAATTTCCCCACTACATGTAGGATTTCAAACAGACTTAACAGAGAGAGAAAGGAGAGAGAAAAGGGGAGGTAAGCTGCATTATATTTAACACCTTGTTCTTTGTAGCCGTCTGTGTTGTTGCCAGCATTGAGCACTGTGGCATAAACTCTCTTGGCCATGGACTTCCTAGTCAGGAGTACAGCCACAGCAGCTTCTGAACGACAGTACCCATTTCCTGAGAGACAGTGAACAAATGAATGGTTAATTTACATTTATAGCTTCAGTATTTGGTGTTAGTGTATCATCTATTGTTACACAAATCTCTAAGCATCTATAAGATGATAAAAGAACAGATTTTTGACACAGGACACTCACTGCTCTAACCACTGGGACAAACATTTAAAAGTAACTAAATGGCATCTCTGTAGATTAAAAGTGAATCAACTCCTTCATAAACAACTACAAGATCACCTGATGAGTCAAAAGACTTGCAGGTTCCATCGGGACTGAGCATGCCCAATTTCATGAACTGCACTGAGGTGTTGGGCTTAAGCAGTAAGTTGACTCCTCCAACGAGGGCTGCATCACACTGGCCATGCCGAATAGCATTAAAAGCATTCTCCAGAGCCAGAAGACTGGAGGAGCATGCTGTGTCAATGGCTGTGCTGGGGCCTTGAAAAAACACATAAGCACACATTTCATTTTCACCTCTTACTCATATGGTCTAATCAGCTATTACAACACATCACACTAAGTAATGACTCAGAGCAGTCATGATTTGGTCAATACTGACATGAGGTACTAACTTATTTGTTGTGATATTTGTTAAATTCATACTGTAAAATCTCAACAGAACAGTTTCTAACAATTTCTCATGATAGATACATTTATAATAGATATAAATAAAAAATGAAACCGTTTAGAAAACTTAAGAGTTTACCTACCATTGAAGTCAAAGAAGTAAGACAGGCGATTGGCGAACATGGCACGCTGGCAGCCGGTCATGCTGTAGCCCAGCAGCTCCTCTGGGTCTCTGCTGAAAGCCTCGCCTGCCTCAGAACCACTCACGCCAATGTACACACCAGTCTTAGTGCCACGCATGGACACTGGGTTTATGCCTGCCAGGTTAAAACATACCATCAGCACTCCTGCTCCCATGCATGGTCAACAAGAACATGACCAACAAAAAACATTTATAACAAGACTGTCATTTTAAAGGGCAGTTAAATTTGTATTATACCCTCCTAAAAGTGCCCAAAAGGTTTTTTTAATGCAATGTCCACCTGTTTTCAAGGTCCTCTGGCTGAACTATGCACATTTTATCAACAATAGTGTTGACAAAAGTGTGCAAATGTGAAGAACCTTTGTAAAACTTAAAGAACCCCTATTCCCCTAGAATACTAGGCATCTGACCTCCATCAACGATGGCCTCGTATGATATCTCCAGCATAAGCCTCAGCTGCGGGTCCATGGTGTGGGCCTGTTTAGGATGGACTCCAAAGAAGGCTGCATCAAATCTGTCTATTTCTTTCAGTTTTCCATTTCTGGGAGGAAGTCCGTACAGACCTAGGAAGGGAAAAAATTATGCATCGTGGTTACTGATGAGAACCGGGGGGAAAAAAGGACAAGTTTTCTGTTGTATTAAAGGGTCTGCCTCAGGCCTCAGTTCCTTAAGCCTGCTGGTATTTTAGCACATGAATGTGAACATTAGTAGGCTGCCAAGGAGAGAAAGGAGCAAAAGGAGAGAGAGGTCTATTCAGAAGAGGCCAGGCCAGCCAAGGCCACCACAGAGCAACAGCCAGGTAGGCAAGGAGACCAGCGGAGCAACGAAACCAGAGAGCACAGGGAGGGCTGCCGAAAATTTAATGCGTCATTCATTGATGAACTTCGCCTCATGCATGGGACTAACCAAAAGTAAACCGCTTTTAAATTTTACACAAGGTTTAAACCACAAACAGATATTTTACATTAAATGTATCCATTTAATCTGGATAAAAATATCTGTGTGCATATCTGAATTACTGAAAAGAACTATAACATATTAGTGGTGTGCCTGAGAAATGCGAGACTTGATTAACTATTTCAGGCACCAGTGACCATATACTGAAATTGCTACTCTGGTATTTGTTGAGATGCATTGTAAGAACTCAGGGAGTGAATATGGAATCAAAAAGGAAAAGTCATGTCTGATGTGGTTATGTTTTAATGAGCAATAAAGCTTTTACTGAATATTTAATTATTTCAGTTCTTTTATTAATTATACAGAGTTCATAAATTACCAATGACTTTATGATATTGGCTAATTGTTAACTAAATATTCATTTGTTAGCTCTTATTAGGTCAAATATCAAAATAAGAATGCACATCCTGAATAAATCTAATGAAGTAGTACTAACAATCTAATTCTGTTAGATACCTGGCTTCCATCTCCTGTCGTCCTCTGTGACCATGTCAACTCCATTGAAAAGGTTCTGCCAAAATTCTTCCAAATTGTTAGACTCTGGTAGCCGGCCTGAAATTCCAGCTATGACGATCTCCTCCATGGTGGTGTGAGAGTTTCTGTGGGTCCAAAGAAAGAGTGACAAAAGAGAAAGAAACAGCAGTCAGAGACAGCAGACATCCTAATAACAATGACAGTCTGTGAGTTGGCAATTCAGGATACAACGTGTAAGTGTGTGACCACTGATTCGGCCCAGGCGGGGGAGAGCGTTGGAAAGGGGAGAGCGCTGGAAGGGTTTTTAGAGGGGGGTCGCCTGGAGGACTGTAGGCTTTGTTCCCTCTTTCAAGGCCAGTGTATTCATACTAATGCTGTCCATACAATAGTCAGCAACAAAGCAAGAGTAGGGATGGGATTCCTGCTTACTGTGAGGTGCAATCAAGCGCCACATTGAGCACAAAGTGTCCCTCTGTTCTGTTCCCTCAGATGCACAACCAGTGCTCAGTTCAATTCCAGTCTCACAGAGCAATTCATCTCAAGTTTAACTATTAAGAAAGTGCTCGGTCCTGGTCCTTTACTACCACTGCACTCTACACCTGCTCCCAAGAAACCGTACTAATTAACAAACTCTTTATGACTTTAAAGTGGCTATGACGCACCAAAGAAAACATTAACCTGTGCCACACAGGACACGCCAGGATTGGTAAATCCTAACTGCAGCACTTCGACTCAGGACGTATTATTTCTTTCATATTTTGCAACTTTCACCAAGGCAAAGTACAGTATGTCAACTCAGCTAAAAGGTCAATAGCATTAGCTAATTTGCTAAGACGCTATTCTATTTGAGTGGCACTGAGAAAACATCTGGAAGACAGAAAGAACAAGATCAAAAGTAAATCTTTGAAGGGTCCATATCACAGAAAATTCTCGCTTTTTCTCAGTTCTCAAAATTATTTGATTAAATATGTAAACATTGTTAACATCAAAAATACATACTATATTCTTCACTCCTGCTCTGTTCCAACTTGCAGTTGTTTAACTCCACCCATTCCCACCCCTAGTCCAGTATTTCAGACTGGACTAGGGGTGCGGGAAAAAATCGATTCTTAGATGCATCGCGATGCAGACGTGGACGATTATGAATCGATTCACAAATGTCAAAAATCGATTTTCTAAATATTTAATATTTTATAACGTAATGTTGACGGAACGCAATGGGAGGAACTTGGAAGTGGGTAAGTGCAGTGCCCGGACAGTCTGTGGAGGCACATAACAAAAACACACATGGATGAGCGAGAAATCCGACCGGCTCCCTCTGTATTAAAAACCAGGTTAGGTCAGGAGTCACAACCCAAATGATAAGAAGAGCCATTTTGTCCTTTCAACAAAAATCAAACCACCTTGGGAGCCACAACATTTAATGTCCAGTATGTCTCAATGTGCTAGTTTAGGCTAAAAAATATAAAAGGAAAATGCAGACTTACTCTGCTTTAAGCTTTAGCTACAGCCGCTTTTCTCCCATCTCCGCCAGAAAACTTTTCCTCAAAAATTGAATAGTTTCTTGTAAAATGTCTTTCAGCTTTCGGCTGTTTTACGAGGCTGAAGTCGCTTCTCACTCGCCAGCTTCTTGCTGAACTTTCCTGTTCCACCTTAAATTCTGACTGAGGCGCCGAACGTAAATGCGGCACCATTTAAGGTGAAACGGGAAAATTAGAAAGAGAAGCGAGTTCATTTTCGCAACTTTTTAGTTAGTGTTTGACAGTCTCTCGTTGCAGATTTAACGTACCAACTGTGCTGCTTATAAATGCAAATAAGTCCATTCATCTCCAAATGTTCGTCTGTTTTTCTCTTTCCCTTTTTCGTTCGCTACTAGCCAGGCGAAACCTCGTTGCTACGTGACCTGCAGTCTTTCGCGCTCCGCCCCCCTCTATCACGAGACCAAAACCGAAGTTATAAAATCACTAAAGAAAACGGGTAGAACGGCTATAATGTGCTGTGTGGTCATCCATGACCACTGGATCTTATTTCACCGTAACAGCACATTTTATCGCAGATGAGTGGCAGCAGCGTCTCCAAACAAGAGCAGTGAATGAGAGCCTTCCAGTTCACTTGCCACATCACTTCCATTTGTTTTATTAATAAAAGATTATGGACGTAAATGCATTATGGATCATTACAAATACTTTGTTTTAAAACTACGAAGTCCTCAGACAGTAAGAAAATAGAAATCATGTATAGAAAAAAAAAGCTGCATCGATAATCGTTTTATAATCACACGCAGCCCTCTGAATCGTAATCGAATCGAATCGTGAGGTGCCTAGAGATTCCCACCCCTAGATTAGACTGTTTTTTGAATGAGTGGCAATATCAGGCACCCAATCAGAACATTTATATAAGATAATTTACATAAGTTCTAAAGTAGCAAAAATTGGCCTGGTTACCACTAAAGGAACTCTAAAGGTTGGAAAATGCAAATGTGAGGAAATAAAATACAGGACCTCAGGGAAAAAATAAAATAAATTCATGTGCTCTTTAATGTGAATACAGCAGAATAACAAATCAGCACATTAGATGTCTATACACAAGCTGTACTGACTAAAGGTAATGGTTCATGTTGACAAAAGATAATGTTTTTGCATATGAATGGAGAAATACATTCTCAGCATTTAACAACAGGACTGAAGTATTTCAGGAACTTATAATTAAGAACACCTTTTTCCTGGTTGGTAATCTTTATTAAGTACTATGTATCTAGCTAGACAAGTAATAGTCTACACCACCACAGCTTTCTTTAAGGAGACTAAAACAAAATTTTCCCCATAAAACTAAGCTTTAAGCAGTATTTAAAAACTAATTTATTTGCATGATGACCGTCAGTGAAAAATCCTTGAGAGAAGCTAATTTCAAACCATTCCACATAAAGTGAAAGATTAACAGGAAAGTAGACTGGAGCACTACTTGAACTACAGTGTAACACTCCATCATGCATGTGGAAGAATGGAGTCGGACAGAGTCACTCTGAGGGGAGGGATTAGTACCATAGAGACAGTGAGAAGGAAAAATACTTGCCAAGCAGGTGCTGGCACGCAACAGCTCGTCATGGCCTGCATGTGTGTGTGAGACTGACAGCTATCACATTCTTACAGCATTACCAAAGTATGTACCCGGTTGAAAGACTGCAAAGTTTTGATGGATTTGAACTGCATGACCTGTTCAGAGAATTTATGAAGAATTGAAGGTAAATTATAGTGCCTTTATATTAAACAACAGGCCAGTACCTATAGCCCAGAGCAGATTGGAAGAGCAAGTAAACGGATTTCCAGGGGGGAGGGATTGTAATCTACCTGACCCAGATCTAAAGAAGCCTCTTTGTTTACATATATAGAAGAATGAGATTCTCATCTAATGACTGAAACAGAGGAATCATCACCTATAAAGGGGTAACTACGATTACCACCCCAGAATACACGCTTATCTTACTGGATAAATCCAGGGTTCGAATTATAAAGGGCATGGTGGATTCAAATAGTCATAAACTGTAATTATACTAATTTTTCAGTCCAGTAAGAGGGAATTTTTAAATATCTCTTATCTTATACTGTAGTTAGGCTGTCTATGAAGGTCCTATGAAAGCCTGCAATTGTAATTTGTTGGTTTAACATGACAGGATACATCCAAAGCAAAACTGATACCAGATATTTTTTTATGTACATATCTGTCAGCACTGATGTTGGTACATAAACAATTATAAAATGCAAACTTTGGACCACATCTTTCTGGATGATTAGCTTTATAGAGAAATATAACATTTATTTTATAGGGTTACAGTAAAATGAATGAAATGTAGACATTTTAACACGACAGAGTACAAAAAGAAATATGCTGAAGTATTTTTTTTTTATTTTTCCTTTGAAATGTTGGCCTAATCTAAACATCTGTCTGAATGGCTTTGAGAAGCTATTATCTGCCCATAAATATATGAATTCAATATTAGTGTGTGTCCCTAATCTTCAGTGATATCACATGGACTAAACAGTGTTAATCCAAAGGGCATGGTAAGAGGGTGACTGGCTTTTACTGGGGGGGGGGTGTACCCCTTTCCCCCCCTTTCAAAATGGAGCCTTAGATACAACCCAAATTCAAACTCTATAATATGAGGAATCGTCTTCATATCATCTTTATCAAACAGTAGGCCACAATAACAGACTGAAGCCTGGATAATCTCTTGCTGATAAGAGGCGGGAGCTGAAGTGATAGCAGGCCATTGCCCTTCCATTACAACTATCTCAAACGCAGATGAGACTGCTGCTCCTCTGGAAGACTTCAGCTGGAATTCTGTCCAACTTTATCACATGCAAGGTAAATCCCACATTTAGACCACAAGATAAAGCCCAACCTGAACCACCTCAGTACTCCTTCTCTGTTCACAGTGAAGATATGGACCTGCCCATTTGCTGCCTAATGGAGTTCATCTAGTGGTCAATTCCTGATTCATTCCCGAGTCATTTTAAAGAGCACCGGCATCAATCTTGTGTAAACAGACTCCTGTTCACAGATATAATGTAGGCTTCCTTAGGTCTAAGAGCTCCAGGTAAAGTGATGAAGCTCCTTCTCCTCTGCAGTTTGTATTTGAGGTGGTTTTCTCTGCTCTAAAGGCATCATACAGCGAGGGTAGCATTAGCACGCTGAGTTAGCTAAACTAGCTAGCTGGCTAACTAGCTTAGCCACCGGTAGCAGCAGAAGAGGAAGAGATGCGCAATGTCTCAGTGCCTCACCTCCTCATCCTCTTCATCAGCTCCAACATGACAGCTAACCGGCTACTTAAACGTAACGTAGCTACATAAACTAGACTCTCGGCTGAACACTACAGAAAAGCACCAAGACAGATTGTTCTGTTTGTGAAGGTGATGTTGAAACATCTGAAGTTAATAAAGATGACGTTATCTAAACTAAGCCGGCTAATGCAAGTGTATTAGAGCACAGAGTCAGTCATACATCAAAATGCTCAGCCAGACACACCGATTTCAAATCGTTTTCATAATAATATGTTAATAATATCTGCGTACTTAAGTCACTAACCATTATCAGGAGGAACATCATATCGTGCTTCGCCATCTAAAGAACATCTACTTGTCTGTACACACCTTAACAAGCGCACTGAATACGCAGTACTCACCGGCTCTGTTAGTTTAACGATGGCTCCGCAAATACTTTCAGATCGATGCGCATCCAACGTGAACAGAGCCCGGGCTGACCTATATTCCTCTCGGGATCCCTTTATCTCCTGCGTGCCTTTGGGCTCCTGTTTGAATCTGGCTGAGCTAACCCTTTGCTAGTCACTAGCCTTGCCCTAAAAATTACTCTCGCTCCTGTGCTTCCCTGCCTCTGTTTCATTTAAATGTGTGCCATGCTGTATGGCCACGCCACATGGGCTGACAGTTGGCTCCGCACTACAGTCCAATGAGAGAAGAGGAAGGACTCCCAGACCGAGGCGATGGGCTGATTTCCTAACGCCGCTCTCTTAATTCCGCACAAAAAAATCCCGGGTTACTAAAGTTCATGGCTGATGCGCAGCATCACATAGAAGGCTACCTGCAAGTCACGTTTAGTTTGCCAAATACTGTATTGATTTTGGAGACTTGGAGTGGTTGTGCAGTCAGATTAGCGCGATTTTTTTAAGTTGGCTGATCTTAACTCCCTGCGTTGGATACACGTTTTATTTGGACATAGTTATTGCATTTTTATAGAAGAAAACTATTATAGCGGTTAGATTATGTAAAATATTGTATTGCGATAAGAATGAGGACAATTTTTCATTAATTTCACTGCTTTTCATTACAGATTTTACTTCGTTTTCTACCGCTTGCTGGAGAGAAAACTGCTGAAATTATAATCCATCGTAAATCACTATCAGCGCAGCCACTGTATCGGGGAAAAGCGTAGGTGGCCATAGAGGTACACATAAACAGAGCGCACTGGTGGTGTGTTTAACACAGAGATGTTGAAATGGCAAAGAATGAAGTACTACAGGGTTCAAATGGGCCAAAAGAGATAGAAGAGCGCACAGTTTCTGTCCTGTGATGAGACACGTGGGGAGGCTGTGCACAAAATCCTGTCAGTTAGCGACGAAATAGAAACCAACCAATCAGCGAGTGGAGGTGTGTGAAACTGGCCCATGACGATGAATGCAAGGGCGTTGCTAGGATATAGGGTGAGATGATGACAGAGAGTGGGAGGAGCTCTGTACCAGACAAGCACAGACTGTGATGTAATCCAGAGGGTTTGGCCTGCTGAGGGTTACTCTGGTTCAAAAGTGAAAAACTTACCTTATTTTACATACACAGGCCATACAAAACACAAATCCATCACACGGGTATGGAGTACAAAAAGAACAATTTTTTTATTTTCTGAAAAAAAAAATCTCAAAATGTTCAAGCTGACAAAATAAATAATAAAAAATAATAAACAATAAAAATATATATCACACTACCTAATTCTGTACAAAGCATCTTGTCTGAAAACGGACAATTCATATCCTGATCCAAGACTATTTTTTTAACACTCACTATTTACATTTCTGCACATTTTCACATTTTAGATGTCACATTTTCAAGAGAGGGGGCCGTACACATATCACTGGGTGTAGCTTCTCTATTTGCTTTACTTTTAACAGAAGGCATGATGCAAACCAAACAAATAATACCTGCTTTCCCCAAATTGTATTTTAACAAGATCTGAACAATAGCATAAAGTCAGGATCATATTTCATGGAATAGTAAAATCAGAAGGTGATGTATGAGGCAGGTCAGTCTTTAATGTTGTAATTTCGAATCTTGACTACCTTACCAGCAGGCCTCATCTTTTTAACAGGTTCAGATGTAGTCCTGGCTTGTTTCTTCCGTTCCTGGACCAGTGATTTGAAGCCTTGAATGCTAACTGGTATTCCCAGTTGTGCCTCTTGTTGACCTCCGGCTGATGCAGCACCAGCTGTACATATAAAATATTGATAGTTAAGACACCCAGGGGCTTCATGAAAAGGCCATCTAAACTTGATGTTCTGCCCCGCTCTGCATGTGAGCTGCTGGATTAGTAGAATTTGTGTACCACTGCCAAGATATTGTTATACCAATATCTGATATACTATGGTACATATAAACATATATACTTACCGGCCACTTTATTAAGTGCACTTACTATATATCTACACTCACTGTTCATTTTATCAGGTCCACTCAGTAGGTGCACTTTGTAGGTCTACAATTACAGTGCACTAGTTTCTCTGTGTAATTTTTAGCCCCCGCTTTACCTTGTTCTTCAATCGTCAGGACCCCCACAGGACCAGGAAAGAGCAGGGGTTATTTGGGTGGTAGATCATTCTCAGCACTGCAGTGACACTGACATGGTGGTTGTGTGTGTGTCACACAGAGTGGATCAGCAGTGCTGCCTGAGTTTCTAAACAACTCACTGGTACTGCTGGGCTGAGAAAAGACCACCGACCAGAAATATCCAGCCAAGGGTGTCCATGGACTGCTGATGAAAGACTTGTGGATGAACACAAACTGTGCAGCTTTACATCTACATGGTCAAACAGCAAGAAAGGTGCTATGTGCAGAGTGTTTAGGGACGTTTCTCCAAGTCAGTCCAATATTTTTTCTAATGATTCAGTATCATCTGAGCAATATAATTTTACTCTACTAAGAACAAAGAGGAGTGCAACAGTGGGATTCAGGAGGTTTTATAATTACTCTTTTACTATTTTCTTTCCTAATACAGACCATTTCTAAAGTAGGTCTGCGATCTCCCATGCATCAATACTTCATATGTATGAAACTTACCCTCCACATCTTTTAAAACTGCAGCACAAGAGAGGGTCTCATCACATTCTGAGAAGAGCACTGATCTTCCTCCTTCTCAGTGAGGATGAAGCCGAATTAAAACTGGTCAGAAATGGCACCTAGCAGTTCATATAAAATGTTCACCAGACAACAGCTTAGGAACCCACAAAAATGAAAAGTTGTCAGGAGACAGTGTTGTTACTGAACATGTCAGTAGGCTGGATGCATAGTCTCAGATTTGTCTGAGCTTACGACCTATTGCAGGAACAGTTGGGCCAAATCCTAGACACACAGAGAGCCTGTACATCAGTCAGCACTCCTGTGTCCAGACTACCTATTTCAGTGCCAAGCCAACACAAAGCCTCGCAGATGATGCAAATGTTTGATCACAGTGTAGAGTCGTGAAACTGATATTACAACACACTGCCATATCAGTCTCACGACTCTGCACCGTGATCAAATGCTCCCATCACCTGAACAGGTCACAACAATATGACCTGCAATGTCTATAAATGTGGTTTGATCAGGAGAGAATGACATGAGCTATCATCAAACCAATCTTCAGATGTCAAGGCCAGTTTAATTGTTATATACCAACTAACAACAGTTGTGTTCTGTACAATAATTACAATACTTAATACAAAGTAGTACTAGAAAACTGTCTGCCTCTCAAACAATTTTAATGGTATTTGTCTTGATTCCCTTTTTTCTTTTTTATTTTTTTAGATTTTATTAGTAGTGTGGTCTGTTATTCCACATTAATGTGATATATATTACTATAAATAACACCACAATGTTTTTAATGCAAAATTAGTGCATTTTTTCTAGTTTGTCCTTTCGAACCATCCATAGTTCCTCCTTGAAGCCCAGCTGCTTGAGCAGTGTTGCTATGACTTAGCTAGTGACTGTAGCCGTCTTGTTCAAATATAGCTTTTAAATGGCATGTTCCATTGTTGGCTCTCTACAGAAAAACAAAGTAATATCCAGCTACTGCAACGGTGGATTATTGAGTCTTAAGTAAGCAAAACACAGCACTAATGTTGGCGATACCCGTTACATCAGTGGTGTTAGAAAGGGAGGATGCCTTCAGCAGACAGTGCTGGACAGTGCTTGCATGATAACCACAGATAAATCAACAAGACGTGATGTACCGGTATGGAAGCAAGAGGCTACAATCACAGCAGCTGGAACATGCAGCCACTGTTGCTCTCAATAGACACTGTTGATGAAAACAGGAAATTGTGTTCATCCTATTTTTCTGTTCACCATGTGTTCAAGTGATTTTCACGTTCAGGTTCATGTGAACTCTGCTGACATGAAAATAGTGTAAATGAATTCTTGAAAGTAATAAACATACTCTCATTAATCTTAGTTTGTCCACTAATATAGCTATTACAAAATGGAATTAATTGTGATTAACTACATAAAATAATGCAATTAATTGCAATTAATTATTTGAATTGTTTCATTGTGCTAGATTTCATATTTACCAGAACAAAATGTATGAAATTCTACTGATGCTATTTTCATGATCACTGTTATTTTATACATAATCTCATCATAAACGTGCTTATTCTGTCCAGTCTCTTCCGCAAAGGGCTGGTGTGGCTGCAGGTTTTCATTTCAACAAAACATAAGCACACCTGATTCCACCTGTTTAAATCAACTGTCTTCAGTTTTCAAACAACTGATTATGTGTGCTTCTGCTTTGCTGGGATGAAAACTTGCATCCACACTGGCCTTTTGTGTATAAAATTTAACACCCCTAATGGACACCTTCTAGGACCTTGAGACACAAAGTTGACTGCTGGCCGTCTGTAATTTGTAGTGTGTCCTACACTGTTGGCCCATCAGCTTCAGAGGCTGGTGGTGAGAAAGAATTCGCAGATTGGCCCTGATCTGACCAATTTTAAAGTAGATCAGTGCACTATAAAAAACAGAAATGAGCAAAGCAAGCAAACTAGCTAAGCTATTTTTTTCATCCTTCCACATTAACACACACTACTGCCACCTCCTGGCACAGAGAGTTGTCTTTTACACAGGCACAAACATGCAGTACTGTGCACAAGCTATTGTGACGAAAATATATAAACTTTTATCAGAGCAGTAAGTGTTTCTCTCTGTTTAACAAAATGTTAACATTATAATAAATATAAATAAACACTACATTGTACTTTGTGTGTGTGTTGGGTAAGCATTTCCACATCTCTACTTGAGGAAGCCATGTATTATATGTGCACCCTTTCTTTGACTTAATGTTTATGCACCAGAGAAGTAGCCCAAATTTGTTTCGCTATACTGTAACCTCCACTTGTATAATGACAATAATGTTGAGTTGAATCGAATTTATAGTTACCATCCAATACATAGTTTGGCTAATCAATCCTTAATTAAATTAAATCATGTGAGATTAAATTCAACAAAACCATGTGGTGGCTTGAGTGCACAGAGAAGTGAGGAACCAAACCTGTGTTCTTGCGACTAAATTCTTCTAACCAAGATACTAATAACTTTAGAAAAATTTAAAATACATTACATTTTACTGTATTTCTGCTTATCCTTATTTATTCTAATGCTATAAACACT